TTGTAACATGTTCTTTGTCGTGCTTACAACCCTTTCTAGGGCAGGGTGGTCCCGGGCATAAAGGACAGGCACGGTGGCGTGGGCCGGCACAAACGGAGGGGGGAGCGATCGTCACCGCAGGCGTGTGACGAGGGGTGGCGGGCAAGCCGAGTCGGCGAGGAGCTCGCTTAGGTCGACCCAGGGTTCCTTCCGCCGGCGAGTGTCAACGAACGCCACGCCACAAGTGCACCCGCGACGCCTGCGAGGGCGGCCGGCCGTATTCAGGGGGACACAAGAGTTGAAGTGTCGACGCTGAGACTTCAGCAGGGCGAGAACTGAAAGGGCGAGGGCTGCAGGGCCGAGGCCGCCTTGAAATACTCGGCTTTCAATGGCTAACGTTTCTTGCCGCTGCCAGCCACGGGAGGTCTCCGGTCAGCGTCACACTCATCTGCGAGAGCAGGGGGCTGGGACGGCGGGTGCTGGTGGGGGCAAACGCTGCGGCACGGGAGCTGCCAAGGAACCCGGGCCCGCCAACGCCTGCTGCAGTAACTCGGAGGCTTGCCGTTGGAGTGCCGGCAGGTCGAAAGCTGCGGCTTGGAGAAGCGCCGACCCGCAATCCCCTATAGCGACATCATGGGCGAGGGCAAAGACAAGCGTGGAGTCGGGTGGCAGCAAACGAAGCGCATTGTTGGACCGCGGCGAGCAGCGAAACAGCAGCCAAAGCCACGAAGCCTGCGCGTCCCCACGCCCAATGTTAGGAAACCTCACCGGCATGTGCGTCCAGGTGCGCGAATGCCATCTGGAGGGCATTCAACGCTTCATTAATCAGGCGAGGCGTGAGCGCAATGGGAGCGCTGGCATGGAAACAACGATTGGCTGCCGCCAAACAAAGAAACAGCGAACTGCGCAGGGCGCTGGGCGCCGATGGCAGCGCGAGAGCCAAGCGAGGAAGGCCGTCACGAGCAGGATCAAATACCTGGCACGGGGCGAGGGCGCAAGGCCGCCTCCTAGGGCGTTGTCGGAAAACCGCCGCGAAACCTCAAGTGCACAGGGCTTGCGCGCGGACCCTGAGCTTCGAGAGTGCGCGCCTGCTAGGTTGTTGGAGTGCTTCCAAACCTTGAGTGCGCACAGGGCCCTAGGGCGTTCCCGGACGGCCTGCGCGCCTCCTAGGGTGTCATCGGAGGGCCTCTAAGCTTGGAGGCGCGCAGCATTTGTGCGGGCATTGTCGCTCTACACCTCGAAAGTGCGCAGGGTGGCGGATTTGAGCTTAGACGAAAGCTGGGGGAGCCTGAGACGAATGGACCTTGAGCCGGAGGAGGGCGTGAACATCGACTGTGTCAAGACTGGTAAGGCCAGAGCCCACGCGGCTGCGAGCAACAACGCGGGCAGGTTCCGGAAGTGCGCTGCCAGGCTCGGCGCCTCCTTCGCCTCTCTCTTTTTGCGTCTGCCTATGCGGTGAAACACGGCTGCCTAGGGATGCTAAAAGGGAACCCCCGGGCACTAGGTATTTTCCGGAGGCCAGCTTCCTCACATGCGCGCCGCTTTTATTCGGAGGGCAGCGTCCTCGCGAGGGGAAACTGGGCACGCAGCGATAGGCACCTCGAAGGGCAGGGCGCCGAGCTGGGTCGCGCCGAGAACGCGCCTTCCCAGCGGCGGCGGGCGGGGACGCAATGGTCGTGTCAACTGCGAGCTGGGCCCCGTTCCACAAGGAGGCCCCGTTTGCGATGGGCAGCCTCAACTGCTGAATGCACCAAACCCGGCGCGCGCTGCACAGTGGTCGCCAAGAGGGTCGAGAGGGCGACGACGCCGACAAGTGCTGGCGCACGGAGGCAAACCTGCTCAAAGCAACGTGCGTTTCCAATGCTGCGACGCTGCCCTGCGCAAGTTGACCGCTGCAGCTTGGAGCAGGGGGACGAACACCCAGCTGTTGGCGCCAGCAGGCGTGTGTCGGAAAAAAAGGGAAGGGAGAGCAAGGAGTTGCTTTTTGCTCCTACGTTTTTTTTCCGCAACATATCACCAGGCCATTTATATACCGGTGGCTCCTGGATGTGCTTGGGGGGGGCAACAGGAAATGCAGTGGCTGTCTTGGCGGGGGTCAGCCTCTCCTTTTGCAGAAAACCGGGCCTCCGGCTTCAAGCAAGCTGGCTGGCTACCGGCAGAGGGCATGCAGAGTTTGCAAGGAGCTCACTCAATGCTGGGGCCGTCGCCGCATCGGAACGCCAGCTTACCGCTGCTAAGCTGGCTGCCCAGCGTACTCCAAACAGCCTTTGCGTCACTCCCCGCAAAGTCGTCAATGCCTTGGGCCGTCCGCACGTGGAGGGCGTTACGATGCGCATTTTGCTGACACCACCATCGTGTCTCCGCTCACGTCCGAAGGAACTGCCCGCTCGTTGCCCCGGCGACGCAAGGAAGCCACATATTCTGAGCTTCTGGGCAACGACCGCTGCCGCTTGGTCGCGCTTGGAATCGGAGCCGGCGGCTGTTGGATTTCCGAGGCTGCGGGCTTTTTGCGCTTGCTTGATCAGGCTAAGGCGCGCGCCGCGCTTGCAGCCTTGCAGCCTTGCAGCCTTGCAGCCTTGCAGCCTTGCAGCCTTGCAGCAGCCTTGCAGCGGCCCTTTTGTTGGCCTACGTCCATCGTGCTCAGCGCCGCACTCACCTTTGCGCCAAATTACCTGCGCCCCATCTCCTGGACTTAGCAACCTTGACCTTGATGGCCCGGCGAGCCGCATAGGGCGTTTTTGGGGGGAAGTGTTCTGGTGCCCGGGGTCCCTTAAGCGCCTACGAGCTGGAATGCGCGAAAAAACAACAACGCAAGAACTTGGGCTGAAGCTGGGTCACAGCTTCCGATGGAAGGCAACTACCCGCCAAAGAAGCCCAGGCGCGCGGGTGCTGCTAGCCCACCCTGGCGCAAGGCTTGCACAGCGGCCAGTGGGCCAGAGTCGGGATCGCGCAGCCAGGGGGCTGGACACTGACACCCTGCCTTGTCATGGGCACGGGCAAGCTCACTGCTGAGGCTGGGGGAAATGAACGCTGGGTCGAGCTGGGCTGGGCCTCTGTCTCTGTCTCTGTCTTTGTCTCTGTCTGTGTCTCTCTGTCTGTGGCGTGTTGCTTGGGTTCGGTTGCCCCTCTTCTTTTGGGCTGGTGTCCCGCAAAAACAGAGCGTGTTTGAGCACGAGTAAATAACTCGCTTTTGGGTTGGAGGCTCAATCAGTGCGCCCGGCCCCATACACTAGCGTGAAGCAAAGAAAGGAGGGCGAACTATAACACAAACGCCATCACAGGGGAGACCGTCGACGCGCTTGCCTTCACCGCTCGTCGGCGCCACAGCGCCCCACGTTCCATGGTTTCCCCCCCTGACCGATGTTTATTTTCGAAAGAGGACAGACAAACAGTCACTAACATGAAAGTCACTCCACCCCAATCATCTCCGCCAGCCGGGGACGTCGGGGGATGCTGAGCTGCTGGGGCGGCAGGCAAGCCAGGCCCTCGGCACCAAAAAGGCAGGCTGAAAGCGAGCCTGGCCAACGGTTCCCATAAACACTGCCCACGGCAAAAGTGCAGCACATTTGTTCGACGCACATTGAGCCTTGCCCTGGGCAAGCGAGAAAGCCCGCTATCTCCTTATTTCTGCGGCTCGGCCCCTACCCCGAGAGCCAAGAAGCGGCAAGGGGCGTTACCCACCAGTTCGGGGTTAGTGGACTCCTTGAGGCACTATGCCTCTTGCAAAGCGATCGGCGGGGTCCCGCAAGAGCGCCGCGTTGCTGGCCAAACAATGGTCATGTCGACCGCAAGCTCCCCATTCTGCAAAGGTAGCCCGTTCGCAGCAACTTCGATGCGGCGGTCATCGAACCGAGCGACCGCCGCATTGAGGTCGTGCACACGTGTGTTGCAAATGACACGGTCTCAGCTTCCCCGGAAGGGGAAACACCGCAGGCCGCCCGATTGTCGCCCAGAAGGAGAGGCGACACAAGGGCAAAGGGAGGCGCGAACGGCGAAACCAAAGGGCTTGCGTTTGGTCAGAAGAGAAAGTCAGCTCTGGGCAGCACAGCGCAGCAGCGAAGGCGGCTGCTGGAAGCCCCGGACTGCTCCTGGGTTGGAGCTTGGTTGCTCAGCAAGTCTTTTCAAGAAGGCCTGCAAGCGGTCAGCGCTCCATGGGACTGGCGAATGCCCTAAGCGCGGGCCGGGTCTTTGAGCACGGAGGATCCGTCGCACCCGTGCCGTGGAGAAGCTGGTCGTGTTTTGTGCGCGTGCTGAAGTTGTGTGGCAACGATTGCGCAGGGGACGCTGAGAGCTACCGCACCTTGCTGCTCCACAGGCAAAGGGGTCTCTCAGCCCACCGGCTCGACGACTGACCCAAGTTCATGCGTAGCTCTCTCCCGGATGCGTTCCGCACTCGAGTCTTGCCACGGTGGAGCTCAAGCGAGGCGTGGAGCTTCAGCGATTGCGACAACTTACAAACTCAGAAGAACTCTGGGCAGTCACAATTCTCATGCCGACTCCGACCTGCTTCCCGTTCAAAAAGGGGCGCCTGTGAGTGACAACTTTGAAAAGGCGCCCCTCATGCTCGCCTGGGCGGTCTGGCATTCCCAAATAAAACCGTGATTCAGGAAGCTGCGTGGCCAAGGTGAATGCGCTGGGATGACAACATGGCACAGCACTTTTTTGAAAGAAGCCCCGCGCCCAAGTCTTGCAAACATGCAGAATTGTTGGGGGTGGGCACGGCAGGCAACACGTCGAGACTTGCTATTTTAGTGAACAAATGGTAACTACACCAAGCCACTATGCGAGCGGCAAACGTGCGAGAAACGTTCGGTCGCTTGCTGCTTGACCCAGTGACACCCCAGCCCTTGCTGCGACAAAAATGATGCGCCAATCCAGAAGCAGCTGATCAGAAGGACGCTTGCACGTGGAAGACTTTCTGTGATTTCAATTTGACCAGTATCAAACTGAAGGCGTGTCTCCGTTTGCTCGCAAAGCCCAGTATGATTCTGTTGGATCGAGCTTACACGCATGCATTTTTTCTCCTTCGGGCTTGCAATCCCCTGGCATGAGTGAGACAAATGCCCGCATCTAGTGGGCTCACTGGCAGGCCAGCAAGCAAGCAGTTTGCTGCGTGGACAAGCCTTTTCAGCAAGTACTTCTCGAAGTGAAGCTGCCCACATCGATTGTCACCCATCGGCAGGTTGACTCCGTCATGATTCAGCGCGTCAGCATCGAATCGAAGTCCTTCACCCGGCTCTCAATGTCGAGTAGCATCCCCGTACTTCACGTGCCAAGTCAGAAGGGCCCGGCCTGCCCGGGCACGACAAGACCGTCGATGGCTGGGACATGTGGTCAACAATCTAACTGCAGCTTTCTGTACTGCGAAATGTCTAGAGGAGCAATTTATACTTGTGACAATTTAGGAAATCCCCGATTTCTACTGCACGTCTAGGCAAACCCCAAATTTCAGCCGGTAGGACAACCTCCTTCAACGTTGGTCAGCTGGCCGCTAGCCTTCGTCAGCGGCTTTAGCTGGCGCAGGAAATCAGAGAAGGACACCGTAGCAGCGCCTGATTCAACCATTGAAGCAAGGACCCGCAAAGAAATTGAAGTACACTTCTACATCATGTTCCATGTTCTAGAGTTCAGTGTTGGCGTTGTCAAGTTGATTCCCAAACTCAAGGAATTGGAGGTCAGGGATGTCGCCTTTGCAGCACCAGTCATGCCGTATTCCTAATAGGTCTGCTAAAGCAGATCCCTCTTGGATGGCCACAAATTGGCTGTAGCAATTTGTCCACTTCTTTTGGCCCACGGGCCTTGTTGGCCGCATGCTAACTGCGATATGGCGCAAACTCGTTTACTTCCAAGCCCCTTCCAGGGGCAAAGCAAACGCCTGCGCCACCTAGTCACAAGAAAGCATGACTGCAATTTTATGCAAGTCAATGGGTTCCGGCATATGTACATTATCTTTGAGGCGGGGTTGCATCGCAATTTCCCCTCTCATTGCGACATTCCCACCAGCTTACCAATAGTCTTGTCGTTGGCTCGAGCTAGCATGCGCGAGTAGCTATCCAGCAGAGCATCCTTAGGCCAAACTCCCGATGTCTGATCAAGCCAAATGCATCAAATGCGACACAGTCAATCGTAAGATGCAGTTGAGTTGCATACCTCTCTGGCTTGCGGCCTGCTCTGTCTGTTTTTAGCCCTTCTGGCAAAATGCAAGAGGCGCCAGCAGCCCCAACTCGTCCAAAATCCTGCCTCGGGCAGATACTGGCCGCAGAGGTCTCGCACGCCTTGGCAGCAAGGGGCGGGCCAGGTTCTTGGGGGTCTTGCAAATACTCACGGGAGTGAAGTTGCATGGCCTATCACCGAACTGATCCAGTTTACCTCAACTTTAGGCTAAACAACCACTTGAGGAGTTTGGCCCTTGAACACCAGGCTTCAGGCCTCAATTGGCTCCTCACGAGCAGTCAGCACTCTTAGGGCGGCGACTCCCTTGCTGCGACCGGCGTGCTGATGCCTCGATTGAGGCATACAAGGCAAGACTAATTTCCGCACTTCGATGTGCAAAGCTATCATCATGATCTTGGAAGCATTACGACCGATTGCACCTTTTTGATGCATGTCAAGACATCACCCATGTGTCTTTTGCCAAGAGGCCAACTACCCTTTGGGCCGAAGTTGGCCTTTCCGGACTTCGCTCCTCGGGGATGGTTGCCACAAACGGCTTGGTCTCCGCGTGCAAGTAGACATGGCCGTCGCTGCCTTAGCCCAGCAAAACAATCTGCCGGCTCACCTGGCCACATGGAAACGTGGCATGTCTTTTGTACATCCCTCTAGCTTACACTCTTTAAAACTCAAGAGCCGTCCTCGGCGCTCACCCCAAATCTGACCATCATGGCATGCTGACACCCAAATCGAACGTGCCAAGTCTACCGAAGTCCTGTTTGTGCCCGTGTTCACCCAACTAACTCAAGCCCAGGCTTGAATTTAGATCTGACAATCTCAGACCAACGTGCCTTGCTGAAATTCACGTCAAGCCCCTTGAAACTGAAACGGCTCGGGAAAGCCTTGAATCCGGACATTCGTGCAAGGTGCCGATCTCACCACGGATGGGCGACTGCGAGCGATCCTTGAAGCAGGAGATGCAATTTGTGGTCCCCGCTGCCTCTCTCTGCTCTGGGTTCAGCATCAGCACACGCTGCCCGAGGCTGTGCCGCAGGTTGTCAAGCGCGCCATCAACCAAGCCATTCAGCCTCAGGTCAGCGGCCTTTGCAACCAGCATCCACCCCACCTCTCGGCTCAGCAGCCTGTCCCAGCTAGGTTCCGCTTGAAGGGCGACCCCATTCTCCCCCCGCCCCCCCACAAGAAAAAAGGTATCTTCATGTTGGGGGGACCCCTTTTTGGTTGGTTTTTAAGGGACACCAAAAGGAACTCATCAGTTTTTGGGTCCCCCTTTTTGGCTATGGGTCAAACATGGATACGGGTTGCCCAAATAAATGGAACCAAGGACTGAAACCTGCGGTCCCCTCATGGTTTAGTTTTGACCCATACCCATTTGAGTCATAAGCAAACCCCGGTGCTAAAATGGTCAACCCAGAACCAAAAAGAAGAACTAAAAAAGAGTCGCGCCCATGTAGGGTTGGGATTCTCCCTAACCTTCATCTCCTTGATGTCTCATGTTGAGAAACAGTAATCTTGGTTGCTGTTGTCCCCTCTGCAAAAATAAGCTTAACTGCTTCTGGGTCCAGTGGAAAATCCGTCTCCCAAAAAGTTAAAGTCCAACGATTCCTACAGTTTAACCTTAGATCCAAATCCCACCTGTTCTCCAACCTGCAACAAGTAAGGACAAATTTCAACCCTTTGCGGGTCCAAAGATCCAGATCTCCCACCTGTCCAACCAGATCCAAAAATAGCCACAGCCATTGAGAAACCAGGATTCCCAAAGAAACCGCCATGGTTCGCAAAAAGGATGGTTCATTCATAGATAGGGATGGTTCATTCATGGTTCCATGTCTCATTCCCCGGCGAAGCGCTGTGACCTGCACCTGCCCACCGCCCTCTCCAGCTCCTGGCGGTTGCTCTCCAGGTCCCGGCGCATGTCTGCCGCCAGGTCTTCTAAGCGGCCCAGCAGCCTGACAAAAAAGAGCCGGGGGACGCCCGGAAAAAACAGGGATCCTTACATCATACACCTGAACATTGCCTTGTAAATGGTGGTTTCCTTTTATTTTGGTGGAAAAAAACATGTTTCCAATGGTTGCAAAATGTATCTTTTAAGGAGCCCGGAAACATATGGCCATTTTTTGTCAGGCTTTTGGCTCACAAATATGGCTCACACATATGGAACCCGGAAAAAAACAGGAACAATCGGTTCACAAATATGGCTGTGGCTGAAAAAAACGGAACCCATTTTTGAGCCCCTCGGATGGAAACAAAGACCAACACCTGCGTAATCACAGCCCTTAATTTTTGAGCCACGCCAATACGGGGACGTCTATCTTCGGTGCCTCTTTGTATGCGCGCAAAATTACAGAGCCAGGGTTAAGCAGGTGATAGTCTTTGGTTCCATCCTAGCAAGGCACCAAAATGGGTACCTTTTTTGAGCCGCAGCCATATGGGTGTGTCTCTTTTTGGTGCCTCTTGTTTGTGTGGGTTTGACGGGAAATCAAAGGAAGAAAGAGGGAACGCCACCATTTCTGGGTCACTAAAAGACACATGCATGTTGCAGTGAGGAATGCTCCATGAAATTGAGGCAACATGGTTTCAGCCATTCAAGTCCGCAGCTATCAGCACGTCCGATCCAAGGGCACTCGGCCTGGTTTCCAAGTTCCGCATGAGGTCCCCCATCTCCTCACGGAACTTACGCATGTCCAGCAGGCTCAGGGCGTTCAGAGCTCCCTGTAGCTTGAGCTTCCTCAGTCGAGCCCAGTGTCCAACCCCCCAGTCCTGTGCAGCCTGCACAGCAAACGGCAGCAAATGTCAAAAGTTGCTTTTGACTGCAGAACAATTGTGCAACCAGTGACGGGCGAAGGCAACCTAGCCAAGGCTCAGCTGCTCGATCTCATCAGTGTGCTCTTTGGTCACCTTGCTTGGTGGCATGTGAACAGCCATCGATGACAACCACTATATTCCACTAAGAGTATCAACCAGAACATCAGCCATTCTTTGCTTGGCTTTGCCGCGGCTATATCTCAGTAAACACACCTGAAGCTGGAGCGACTTTAGTTGGATATGTGGACCTTCTGAAGAGAATCACCAAAGGTGGGTAAAATGGGCAAGCAAGCAAGCAAGTCAGCCAGCCTGCCTGCCAGCCTGCCTGCCAGCAAGCAAGCAAGCAAGGAAGGCTACGCAAGGCAAAGGAGCCAAAGCAAGGCAAAGCGAGGCAAACCAAACGAAACACAAACAAGCAAGCAGGCAAACAAGGAAACAACTAAAGCATAAAGCAGCAAACACGGAAGAAAGCGTGCAAGCAAAGCAGGCAAGAAGGAAAGCAAACAAGCAAGAAAACACGCGACCAGGTGCGCAATCAAACAATCAAACCATGAAGCAAATCAGCATGCGAACGAACTAGCAAACAAGTAATCAAGCTTAGCTTTCCTCTACTTGGTGATTTGGATTTGTGGTTTGCAAGCTACCAATCCAAACCACGAACTAAGGGTACCTGAAACTAGCAAACCAAAACGAAACAAGCACGCAAGCGAGCAAACAATTTGCAAGCGAGGAAGCAAGCAAACGATTCAGCAGGCAAACAAACACACACAAACAGACAAACAAACACAACTACAAGCAATGTACGAACCAAGCACACAAGCAAGCAAGCAAGCAAGCCAGCGAGCAAGCGAGCAAGCAAGCAAACCCATGAAACAAACAAACACACACTTCAACTCCCAAGGGAGGGTGCTATCATTCGAGTACAACTGATGAGTCTCGAGTACAACTGATGAGTCTCGAGTACAACTGATAAGTCTCGAGTGGGATAAGTTTCGGCTCGCAAGGCACTCAGCTTCACTCTAATTACTTGAACAGGGAAACAAGGAAGCAACGGCGGTTCAGGGAGGGGACCAAAAGGACCTTAAATCACTTCTGCAGGTACGTTTGCACAGCAAACTGGATGGGTCTTCGTTGGCCCGCGCCATCCAGTTGCTCGCGGGCCCCCTGCTGAAGAAAAAAGTTCTGGTGGCAGGGTATTCTGCCACTCCGCACACACACACACAGACAAAAAAAACACCCGACAAACTCACAATGATGCGGGGGAAAAACACAAACTCGCAAAGTAACAAGCTCATTAACCAGTAATCGGTTTCGGTTGTATAAGCAAGCAAGAAGGCACGCAAGCAAACACAAAAACAAACAGTCAAGCAGGCAAACGAGCGAGCAACCACACAAACACCTGAACAAGCAAACAAGCGAGAAAACGTGCAGCCAGGCACAGCTAAGCAACCCAAACAAAGGAAGAATCAAGAAAGCAAACAACCCAACACGCAGGCACGCAAGCAAGCAATAACACAAGCCAAGCAAGCAAGAAAACTAGCAAACAAACAAACAATCAAGCAGGAAAGCAAGGCAAATAAAGTAAGGCACAAACACAAACACGCCCATGCCAAGCAAGCAAGCAATCAAGGCAGGGCAAGCCAAGCAAGGCAAGCAAGGCACGCAAGGCAAGCAACAACCAAGACACACAACTAAGCATACAAACACAGGCACACACGTACCAAACAAGCAAGCACAAAAACAAGCCACCAATCAAGCAAGCAAGCAGAGCAAATAAAATAAGGCACACACACACATGCACATGCCAACAAGCAAGCAATTCAGGCAAGGCATTCAAGGCACGCGCAAGGCAAGCAACAACCAAGACAAACAACTAAGCATACAAATACTGGCATGCACGCACCAAACACGCAAGCAAACATGACAAGATGCAAACAATCGAGCAAGCAAGCACAAAACAAGCAAGCAAGCAAAGCAAAGCAAATAAGGCACACACGCAAGGCAGGCAGCAACCAAGACAAACAACTCATCATACAAATACAGGCACACACGCACCAAGCAAGCAAGCAACCATGACAAGATGCAAAGAGTCGAACAAGCAAGCAAGCAAGCAAGCAAGCAAGCAAGCAAGCAAGCAAGCAAGCAAGCAAGCAAGCAAGCAAGCAAGCAAGCAAGCAAGCAAGCAAGCAAGCAAGCAAGCAAGCAAGCAAGCAAGCAAGCAAGCAAGCAAGCATGCAAGCAAGCAAGCACAAAAACAAGCAAGCACACATGCATGCAAGCCAGAACAAAAACAAGCAAGCAAGCCAGGAAAGCCAGCAAAGCAAAGCAAAGAAGGAAAGACACCCACCCACCCACCCACCCGGCTGTGCGCCTCCTGGAGCTCCGCAAGCTGCCGCAGGATGTCCTCGAAGCGCTCTTCCGCCCAGTCGCTGAGATCCTAAGGCGAGGATTTTTTGGCGGTTGACGTCCTTTGGGAATCTCTTTGTTTACAAAGGGAGTTCCATTTGAGACACACCTATATAATTTGACATCCGTATTGATGGATGCAGCTATATATTAAATTGGCCAAAGGATACACCGCCGTTGGCATTTGAGGCTTCAGTACAACTGCACGGCTGCCACGCACGTTCTGCAACTGACGCGCATGAAGCAAGAGTTGCTCAGGCCCTCACACTGAGTCGCTCGTCTACGGAACGAATGGCGTGATCCTGCTTTGCAGCATCCTCAGATGGGGCAAGTGAATCTTCTCACAAAAAGAGGCTAGTTACGAACGGTAGGTTAACAAATCTTCAATCATTTCAGGTTGTAGCAACCTTGAAAGTCAATATTCCAGCTGTGAAAACAGAGCCAAAACAGAGCCAACCCACATGGATGCTTGGTGGCACCTGAACCTCGAGCACTCCTGTCATCTGTGCAAAGTCAAGATGCGTTGCGCAGTTGCTCCAGAATTGCTTCGCTGGACTCTTGCCTGCGCTCCTTAGCTGGGCGTACACAGAATGATGCGGTGATGCATGCAAACAACAAAGTGTTGGCAAGTTTCGCACATGCCAACGTCCTGCTCCAGGGATTGGAGACGTTGCTCCCAATCATCCATGCCTCACTTAGTCCGTCGCAGCCACTCAGAAGACCAACAGGGGAGCGGATGCCTCCTATCCAAGCTTACCTCCTCAATCTTGATCCTTTTACCATGAGGAATCACGCCAACTCAGTGGCGCCCTCCAAAAGCAGCGACAAGCAAAACATATTTTAGCAAACCAAGAGTGTCTGCGTGGCATCCAGTGACTCTCTCTGAGCCTTTTGTCTGGCAAGGCGCGCTTGGCGCGAGGGGTCGGCGCCGACCTGGACGGCACCGCGGCCACCGCGGCCACCGGGGCGAAGTCGTCCTCCAGCTTTTGCTCCACGTCCGCCTCCAGCTTCGCCAGTCGCCGGTCCAGGCGGCCCTGAGCCGCGGAGCCAAGATGCCGTGGGTGGGTGGGTGGGTGGGTTGAAAGCAAACAAGGAAAACAATGTGGCTGCCGAGAAGGATGGAAGGGCTGTGAAATGCCTGCCTCGCGCTCGCGCAAATCCCGGATCTCATACTCCCTCTGAATGAGCCCTGCTTCGGACTGACCCAGGCGAGCAATGATGGCCTCCAGTAGACCTCCGAGCGACGAAGGATCATCACAAAGCGCATCTGATGCAATCTTGCCTTTGAGCGTTGATGTCTCCAGCGTCACCAGAATCTCTGGGACCACCAACTCTGCATGGATGGCCGTCATTGGCGAGTGTCGTGCTATGTGCAAAGACTGACGGCTGCTTGGCCCCTCAAGGAACACTCCTGCTTGTATGTGGCTTTGTCCTGCGATCTGAGCCAGTGACTGCAAAAGCAATGCCCACTGAAACGCTACCATGAGCATCGAATCAAAGCTCAAGGGGGTGACAAGCATTTGACTCGCCTGTGAACGGCGGAGCTTGCCAGATTGCACACTTCCCCAAAGACCAGGTTCACACTTGAGCCAACCAAAGCCTAAACAATCCTTGGGTGAGTCACAAAAGTCCGACCAGGTTGAATGGAGACGAATCGCGTGTCTGGGAAGGGACATTTGTGAATGAACAGATTTGCTTGCTCGCTTCTGCAAGGCCGCGCCTTGGGCTGCGTAGCGCCGCCACATCAAATTCAGGTCTCGCTGGGAGGCACGGCTCTGCAGATGTGCCAGAGCCCGCCTACGCCGAGCGGGCTTTTCAAGATGAAGGAGCAAGCGGATTTTGACAAAAGGGTCGACAAGAAGGCATCCCCTTGCGAACAACCCTCAGTTGAGGATGAAGACCTGCTTGCCGCGCTCTTGGGATTCTCAATCCGAAAAGCTTGCCGCCTGAGGTCTGGCAGGGTGAAGCGCTGACGACCCTGCGCCAGGAAGGTGAAGACATCACTCAGCGCAGTGATGTCATGACCTCAGCTTCAGCCGCTTACGGCCCCCAAGGATAAAGGAGCCAGGCTGAGAAGCGCATGTTGACGCGTCTGGCACGAATCTTCTCAAGGGCCGGGCCCAGCAATTGAGCAAGACGTAGCCTGGATGAGGCGTGGGTAAAATGCAGGGTGAGAGTGGCAGTCGAGAGTCACCGATTGCTTCACAAAAACCAAACGACACTCACATGCAGCACATACATAGTTGCCAGATCACAATTTGTATCAACATAGGCTGATGATCCAATTCAATACATGTTCTTTCATCTTGGTGTCCTGCCTGTCTTTCTCCAGCTCCTCAGGTGCACTGAAAGCCCTTCGATCGTGCATTCATCTCATGCGCCTCCGACGCATGGGCAGCTGCCGAGATGATACGGTACAGCTGCTGTCTTGCCTGCCACTGGCGCTTGGGATTTCGAGCAATGGGCCTCCTTTGGGGCCGGGGCCGTGTGGATGAAGTTGAGAGGTATCGGTCTATCTGTCTATCCCAATGTTGAACGCCCATGCCCAGCCGACAAGAGGGAACTGTTCGCTGGCTTGCCCGCGGGCCTCTGGCACTTCCTGAGGCTCATGCCTGCACTGAGAGGCGAACCGCAAAGTCATCGCCTCAGGCATTGGCAAAAAGGCCGTGTTGCATTGTGCTTGGGCTGGAATGACAGCTGGTGACGTGGGTGACCTGGTGGCTGGAAACCAGCTGCCAACCCGAAAGGCGCTTGCGGTCGGAAAAATCGTTGGAACCTTCTTGGCGCCTCACTCGTTGCCTGACGAGTGCAGCGGAAGACCGTGCGGCATCTGGGGCATGGCACCTGGCCGAAAGCGGATCGTTCATCCCTGACCCCCCCCCAGACTCCTGTGCTTCCTGACAAGCTTCTTGGCTTTGCTTGTCGACGTTCGACTAGCCCCTTCGGGCACATTTAATAACTTCTGAACGCATGGTTCCTTCACAGGCTCACTTGAAGCGAAGCTTCGATTTGGGTGTTTTTTCCAGACCACCCCAAAAAGGGTACCATGAGAAAGACACACCCATTCTAGACTGGGCTTTGGAACACCTCCCGCATGTCTCCATTCATCTTACCGGATTCAGCCCGGGCCTCAGGGCACCCACTGGCGTCTGTGTCGCGTTGGACGCGACAGCCGCAGCTCGGGCAAGGCTCCGAATGCCTGGGACAGGGCTTCAAGCGAGATGGGCTCAAGTCTGACAGAGGCGCGCGCCGGCAACCCAGCCCAACAAGCAGATTTAGACTTTTGCTCCGCTCTTTTGCACCCTCTCAGCTTTGCGAAGGGTCACGGCGGGGAATGTAGCTCGTGAGACAGTGAAACGCCTTCAGCTTCTAGGGCTATCATGGCCCACTGCCCCCATGATCTGGGCTTCCCCAGGCCACAAGGGTATCATCCTCGCGTACAGCCACTAAGGCCAATTTGCTGGCACAAACCTGTCGCACATCTGTGAGCCGTGCCTGCAGTTCTGGGTCGTCACAGCAGTCATCTTGGTGTCCCCATGTCACCACTCTGCCATCGCTTCGCAAAGCCGCAAACGACGACTGACTGGAGTAGAGCTCTTTCACCTTCACGAGCTCCCCCTGCACGCTGCTGGCATCTCCTCCAACGAACGGCGGGCCCCAAGCCACTACTTGCCCATCCGATCGCAGTGCGGCAAAGGCGTGCTTGGTAGCCCTGATTTGCTGTATATCCACAAGCCTCTCTTGGACAGCACTGCTGTCTCCGCCAAAGGTGGGGTCACCCCATGTAACTACACTGCTCTTCAGGCAGACTTCAACCTTCTTGCTAGATGCATCTACACACGCGTTCGTGGTGATGGCCGCAAACGCACTCTTGGATGCTTCGATGTGATGCACGCCCGTCAGCTTCTCTTGCACGAGGCTGCTGTCTCCTGCATCAACGTGTAAAGCACACCTCCTGATAACATACTGTTGCATGCAACAGTGTGTGTAATTTTTCCACTTACAGGCCACACTTCGGGGAAGCACCTTAGAATGGGTTCATAGTTTTCCTTTTTTTCTTCTTAGTTTCTTCCCCAACAGCTGAAAGCTTAGGGGTCTCAGCCCAGATAGGCTCCGGGGTGGTCCGGGGCGGCCCTGAGGTAAGGTTCCACGAGGGTTCCACGAGGGTTCCACGAGGTTCTGTGGGGTGGTGCGAGCACTAAAAGAAGCACCGCATGCTGTTCAGATATCACCTGAGCCTTTTTTTTTGGGGGGGGGTTCTTGCATACTGCACTGGCTCCATGCTGCAGATGCGTCATGCTGCCAAGCACTAGTAGTGGCCTCTTGGATAAACATTTTTTATTGCGTCCTCCGTGCTCCGCAGGACCCCAAGTAATGACTCTGCCATCGTCCCTGACTGCAGCAAAAGCAAACTTGCTTGCAAAGACTTGTTTCACCTGCCGTAGCTGTTCCTGAACACCAGCGCTGTCTCCGCCCGCCTCGGGCTGACCCCACGTGACCACGCTGCCGTCATCTCGGATTGCCGCAAAGGCAGCTGAAGAGGCAACGATGTGCTTCACACGCTCGAGTCTGCCACTGTCTCCTCCGCACTCTGCATCTCCCCAGGTGACAACTTTGCCGGAGTGTGTCAAGGCAGCAAAGGCGTACTGAGATGCGAACAGCTGCTTCACTCCGACCAGCTGACTTTTCACTGCACTAGCGTCACCTCCGCTGCCAGGGATCCCCCAGCACACCACCCGGCCATCAGCTCTCAAAGCTGCGAAGGCGCTGGAAGATGGCTGGATGTGGACGACATTTGCCAAGTCTTCCTCGATGCAGCTGCAGCTGCCGCCACCTTCCGAATCTCCTGCAGCCACAACGCTGCCATCCGCCTTGATGGCGGCAACCGCGGTCTCGGACAAATAGACTTCGAGAACATCTTTGAAAGCTGCCTGCTGCTCACTGGATAGTTCGAAAAAGCTCGGGTGCCCCCACACTTGCAGCGTCCCATCTGTCTTCACTGCCGCAAAGCCAAAGCCGTACTTGTGAGCCTTGACTCGCATCTTTGTGGCGGCCACAACCGCAACTTCCGCAGCGTCCCGCAAGCCTGCAGCGGTGAGGGTGGCCGAGTCGCTAAGTGGCACACCGTCGATCATCAAACCTGCGAGTGGTGCTTTGACCCTCACTTGAAGGCGTTGCCGCAGATCCGCCACCAGCTCCCCTGGATCACAGGGAACTGTCACTCCTTCGCCGCTAAGCATCCGCGCCGTTATTGTCCACGCCATGGCTTTGAACAGCTCAGAAAGCTTCTAGATGGCTTCAAGCTGAGTCGCGTGCCACGCAAATGGAGATGACCCATGTCGGCACATGATCAACGCCCCTCTGATTAAAGATGCCCCGTTTCCCCAGCCCGCTGTCACCCAATACATCAAAAAGGCACCCACAAGGTTTGGCCAAGAGACCTTTTTGGGGCACCTCCCAACACCCACTTAAACATCGCTTTCCAGCCCACAATTCCAAAACAAAACAAGTTTTTAAATTACCGGAGCTATTGGCAATACTTTTGCCCATACTAATTCCTTTCATAGTCTCCAGCCCTGGAAAATAACAAAAGCATTTTCCTTTTACTTTCCTATTGAAGTCCTTTTTGCCAGTCAGGTTCCAGGTCCAGACTAAACCGAGGGGCCTAGAAAAACCCTTCAAAGCCCGGTTTCCCCAAATCATGTTTCCCCATGATTAGTCCGTGCGCCCAGGCTTTCGAAGGTTCCCTAGGAGCATTCTGCAAACTTGTGACATCTTGCCAGGGAGCTGCAGCACGTAGAGCTCCGACTTGGCCTCCGCATCGGATGAGCAGGAGCGAAGTGCCTGGCCACATGCACCCCTCCCATTAACCGAGAACCTGACGTTCGGGGGTCCCTTTAAAAGGAACATGGTCTTCCAGGACCCTGTCAGGCTCTATGTTAAGTGGTGGGAGGGTATGGAGTAGGAAGGAAAAACACGGTCTGTGGGCAGGCTGGGCTGGGTCCATGTTAACATTCTCCGAGGTGTGTCCGGTCCTCATACTCCTCGGAGTCGACCGGGTAGATCAAGACCCCGAACTCCCTCAACGACAGGCGCCCAGGGAGCACTGCAGGTGCAGCCCTGGCGAAGTGAAAGCTGGCGCAACCATCCGGACTCACGCCGTAGCCAACCGCCCAAGTAAACAGAATAAACTTTGTGAGGAATCCTCCAAAACATTCCTGCCAATCACCAAACTCAATCCAGCACCCTGCCTGCGTCGGAGCTGCACTTCCTGTATCATGGTGCCTGTGAGACGCAGAACTGATGCCCACCCAACAGGGAAACGGATGGAAATGACAGGAATTCGCCAACGGATGCACAATCCACATCATCTGAAGCTTAGCCAGGTCACAACCCAACTGCCTTTGAGGTTTGGTAACACGGATTTTGAAAACACATTCCTAAATATCAGACCCTCCTGTGCCCGCGAAAAGCCCAGAAGCGACTTCTGGGCCCCCCACACAGGGCAGCGAAGGGGGTGGCGCCTCGAAAGTCCTGCAGCAGCTGCCAGAAGTCGGTGTCCAGCAAGTAGCCCTCGAGATCCCCCCTACCGTAAGGGGGAGGGGGGGTGGGGGGTCGCACAATTCCATTTATTCAGTCTTCCCCTCAAAAAGGAAAAAGGAACCCTAAGTTGAATTCCAGGGGTCACCCCCCCCAATTCCATTTTGAAGGGGGTGGGGAAAGCTGGAGACACGCGGCACGTTTTCGCCCACTGGTTTTTCGCCGTCAGTCGGCCGACTTTGCGCGCTGTTTCCTTGTAAGGAGCAAGCAAACTGCCGGAAACACGACTGAACTCGGAAACAGGCACTCTGGGTCGGAAGGACGCTAGAAACCTCCAAAGGTCATAGGGTCACTTTTTCATAGTTTGCCCCATATCGAATATCAAACACCTCCTCATTCTCAAACGTTGTGTTGCCTCTGCGCTTCAGCCTTCCGGCCTTGCCCGTGGGATCCAGGCTCTCAAAGAGCGCCGTCAGGGGACAGCCCTTGGGCCGCAGTGCCTGGCCATCTGGAAACGGCATGGGCTGGCCAAGTCTTGGGTCCGCAGCGCTTTCCTGCTTCAAGTTTGGACGCACAGGTGCTGACTTGCGACGTCTTCGTCTGAGAGACGGTGGGAAGATATCAGCCATCTTGACTGGTGCACCTTTTGCGTTGCGCAAATCACCAAGCAATGGGTGGAGCTCAAGCGCCTTGGCATCCTCGGCGGCTCCATCCGCCGCAGCTTGGCGAAGCAACGTCTGCACCACTGCTGCCAACAACCTGCGAGCCCAACTTATTCCACCCCTCCTTGTACGTGTTGAAGCCCCGAGCGGCCAAGCTTCCCCCTACATCGTTCGTCGTGTTCGTCGACTTCGTTTGGGAGTTCAAGAATAGCCCTGAGATGCCCCGAGATGCCCCAAGCTGTTTGACACCCCGTGATGCACTGTAAAGCCCTCCCCCCCCCCCACCCCCCGAAAGACCATCCTTCCAAGTCGGACCGCAGCTCCGCGCTTTTGGGGAGGCACTGCGCTTGGACCGGTCACCTGGATGTTGCTGTGCAGCTCTCCGGTGTCCACATGGGGTCGTATCCTGAGAAGCGAAAGTCGCTGGGGGTCCGGTCAAAAGCACGGGGGCGAGCGCATTTCAGGCGGCTGTGGGTCAAAAATAGGTACCACAAATGGAACCCTGTTAAATGGAAAGAAGGACTACAACCTGCTTTTTTTTTGTGGTTTAATTTTGACCCATACAAAAAAGGCAGCTCCAGGGCATCTCTGGAAGAACCCGGTTTCAAGCGCTCGAATCAGAACCAAACCGGCCGAGCACCTGGCGCAGTTGTCGCTGGAAATGCTCCAGGGAGACCCCGGAGCCAAAGTTGGGCGCGTAGCGCTGCCACATGAGGTCAGTCTCCTGGCCGAGGACCAGCCGGTGAAAACACGGCAGAGCAACATTGGATACCACTCGAGATTGTGTCCGGACAGGCAGGCACTTGAATGAAGCGCTGCCGGATTTCTGCCATATCAGGGCCAACTCGCATCAAGACATATGCTCAGTTGAATTGCACAACTTATCTGTTGGTCAAATGGCCTCCGGCCTTTGACTGCATAACCTCATAACCTTTGGATTCGCGTCGCGCTAACTTGACGCCAGGCTTCTTGCATTGCAAGCTCCTGCCAAGAACAGCCGCAACCGCGCCTTCTCCGAAACCGGAATCTGCTGGTCTCTGAATGCCTAGCACTGCATATGGCACTAACCAACCAGTTACTTTGACCTGACTGTGGCACATGCATGCTGCTGCTCCTCACCACTGCATTTCAGAATGCACCATTGGGATGCCTGAAAGCCGGATAGCATCTTAATAAACATGAAATGCCTCCACAACAAAAAAAAACATCACAAAGGCACCAGCTGGTACACTCAAATGCCAACGCCTGCCGTAGGTCGAGCGTGTCAAAGGACGGGCGGCCGGAGGAGATGTAATCTGAGGAGTCGGAATAACAAGTCTCACAAGGCAGCAAAGTGCGCATTCTGATCGCTGGGCAAGACAGGTGGCGAGGAGCTCGACTGGACAGAGCTCGAAAAACAGGTAGTTCAACGCGATCTGTCTACCACTGCGTAGATTCAACTAAGCGGTCACCTGCACTGCTCAAGCTTATCATAGCTGGCCCCAGCCAGAACAAACTGATGGGCGTTCTGGTGACGCATCTGTCAGGTGAACAGACATCAAGTGAGAACCATTTTTGTTCGCAGCGGCTCTGGCCCAATGCCGTCAGTACCAAACACAGTCAAACACTCAATGGGCGTATGGCTTCGCGGGGGCCCCAGGATTCACATGGTTCTGGGTGTGCACACCTTGCCTGATGCCGAAAAAGAGCCCTAGAGTCCGAATCATTCCTTTTCAGCTTTGACCTTCCTTTCAAACGGTTTGAGCTGCTTTGTTCGGAGCTGGTTCCAACCAAAACAAAGTCAACTGTGTGTGCTTCAGTTCTTTTAAATCCCCCCCCAAAACAAAAACATGATAGTGCTGGGTTTCCTTTTGGTTTCCCTTGCAAACCACCAAAACAGGGGTGCCCTCAAACACGAAGACACGCCCAACTCAACTCCCGTGCCCACCGTTCCGCGCCGCGCGCCGCTCCGCGCCGAGTGGCTGAAGGCCTCCCGCAGGCAGCTGTTGTCGAAGCCCGGCTGCGCCGCCAGGCGCTTGCGGTCCAGCTCCAGGTTCTCCGCCTACGGCGAATGATCTGCGGAATGGGACGGCTGACCGTCAAGCCTTTCTCTTTGCTTTTCCCTTCTTCAGAATAATTGTTTTTTTCTTTTTCGGGGGTCACGTACCTGAGGAGAGGAAGCAGAGACAGAGAGAGAGGGGTAAATAACAAGTTTCATGTTCTTGCAACACATGGTCGCTGCGGGTGATCACTCCAGCACTTCAAGTTCAAAGACCGAGATCGATACACCAACTAGGACTTCTGTGCTGTGCTCATGTTCCCTTCGTGGGCAAGACATATGTGTGGCTTTTTCAGGGGACCCCAAAATGGCGGCTTTCCTCTTGGTTTTCTTTAAAACCCCCAACGAAGGGTACCCTTGAAAGGAAGACACGCCCACATGTACAACAAGCTTGGTTTTGCCAGCATTTGTGGCTCATTACATTTGCTTGCAGCCTGTGCATGACAGGGCCCGCAGAAATGTGTGCATAAACATGCTTCTGTGCATTGTATACTCACACTGCTGTCAAGAACATGTCCATAGACATGCAGCATACATAGGCAAGGTGGGAATAGCGGGGCATGACTCTGGCCTCATTAATTTACCATGATCAAAGTCACCCCCCCAAGTGGTGGTTTCAAGGGACATAGCCACATTTTCTGACTTTGACAACCCCCAGAAACAGTCAAAATCATGACCCCAGTCACTGGTGGCAGAATGGCAGCCGCATGCAGCCGCAGTTGTACAGCTTAGGAGCCCATGCCTCGGGTCCACCTGGGTGTGAATTTTACTGGGGACCCTTTGGGCATCATTTTGATGGGGATTCATGTCCACCAACCACTTCTGAGGTGGCTACCGAATAAAATTCAGCCACCTCAGCCCTCCCTTGGCCGCGCCGTGCGCGCAGCTGCGGCCACGAGCCGGTAAAGCGTGTAGCGGTCGGCCGCCGAAGGCGCAGGACCGGAGTCCCTAGGCTCAAACTCGACCCGTCGCTCATCCCAACGAGGCGGTTTGCGCTCGTCAAAGGAAAGGAAGATATCAACGTTGTGCCCATTTGCGGAAATAAAGACTTTGTTGTGTTCGATCTCTTTTCGGAAAGTCTGGTCTGCATGCGCGCGCGGCCCTGCTACACCAGCTGCAACGGCGTCCTGCCTGGCCACCACATAGCACCTGCCAGCGTGGCACAAGGCGTCTGGAATTTGCGGGCTGACCCGAGCATGATCCAACCCAAGCGGAGGCAGAGAGGGGCCAGCAAGTTGCAAGCAAAGGTGAAACCTTAGTCGAATTCAGCGTTCTTGCTCATGGGAGACAAGATATCAACTTTCAAAACGAGCGACGCAGGCAAGGACTCCCCTGCGCACATGTGAGTCCCCAGTCTGCCCACTGGCAAACCATCCCGCCTGAAGGGTGCTTGGCAGTGCGTGCACACCACATTGGGGCAGCCGGAAGAGTCAGAATCGCGCTGGATTCGAAAACCACCTGAAGCACACATTCGGCTGTGACTCTTTTGATTGCCTGCCAAGGGTAAAGACGAGCTGACCCACCACCAGCTCACTCACATCTTTGCCGATTGAGGAATATGGTCAAGCACGTCAGTCCGCAGCAATGCCCATTGCCGGCAAGAAGCATCGAGGGCATGGCTCCGAGAAATGCAGCACGTAAAGCACAGACTTGGCATCATCGTCTGAGCAGGCATCGCACATAGCTTTGTACTCCTCGCAGCTTAGCCCGCAAAGGGATTGAACCTCGTTTCATGCCTGGAGTCCCCAAGACATGCTTCCTGTTGCCATGCGCGGCTCTCTCCTTTGAGTCAATGGGGAACATCAGCTTCCCCACGTCGCGGAACGTGAGATGGCCAAGAGGCCGGCCTGGTTTGGCTGAAAGCCGGTGGATTTTCTTGAGGCCGCGGCAAGCATCGGGAATAGGTGATAAGTGCTGCGGTAAAAAAAAACGGCGCCTCCTCTTCGCAGGTCTGCTTCATGAATCATCGAGCAAAGACTGGCAAAGGAAACTGCAGCATCGTGCTCCTATCGTCGCACATGGCACCATGATGCAGCCTTCCCCAGCAACTACTTCGAAATGTTCAAGCCGAATGAGAGAACTAACTTGATTCTGGGCTCTTGCTCGCAAGTATGCAGTCCTTGCCCAGTTCCAGCAAGTCCGTGTCAAGAACATAGCCCTGCCAAAAGCGAAGCAGGCTGTACTCAAACCCCAGCATGCACAAAGACATGCTATTGACTTATTGATTTGTCGAATTCGTACTCAACTCAATAAAACATCGGCTAGGCGCAATGAACCTGGATCAGGGAATCATGCCAATGCCAGACTTGCGACACGTGCCTTTTGAAGAGGATCCAAGATTTGGACGAATCCAGGAAGCCCGCAGCCGCCAGCACCCGGGCCAATCATGGCCTGCACCAAATCTCTCTTGAAAGGCCAGTCACGCCGCTCGCCCCGGCCACATTGGCCCAACTGTCTGCGAATCCCTGTGGAAGGCACACGGGCAGCTTGCAATCAACCTTGCACGAAAGCCATGCTTTGGAAAACGCATCGAGCAACTCCACGAGGACCACTGCAAGAACTGCGCTCTCTGTGAATGGTTGTCCTTCTCGCCTTGGCATCCTCAGCCTCCGCATCGCACGCAGCTTGGCGCACCATTGCCTAGCACTGAATGCAGCTGACAGAAGCATATTGCAGGCGAGTGGGCTTCTGGAGGTTGGCTGTGCAGCTTGAGGATTTCACCTTGTCAATAAGTTAAGTTTACATTCAACAATGGCACAGCTGGCAACTAAGGTCTCCCTAAGGAATGAACCGCTCTGGGGATAAACACCCCCTGTTCCAGAGTTGGGCTGCTGGGAGAGGTTGGCGGGAGAAATCAGAAGTTTAGTAACCCATTGGTTTAGAATTGCCTCTTCTGATTTTGTTCTGGGCCCGTTAAGATCTTGAAAGAACATATTGGGTTGACTTGTACTATTTGGGACGGGGACTCCGGATTCAAGCAAAACAGCAAGCAGGACACGGGGAGAGAGGCCATGACTTACAAGTAGCATGAACACAGACTTGAGTGGTACTCTTCCATGGGCCTGACGAGGGTCCGAACATAACAGAACATCACACACAGAAATGCATTACGTGTAGTGTCACCAGCAGCCCACCGTCCTGCAATATACTCCGCAGCACTCGCTGCTCGCTGCCAACGGAGGCCAAAAGAGGTCCCTGCCGGTGAGAGCAAGCAGTGTGATCGTAGTATCGCTCAGCGTATTGCTGCATTTTCCTCTGTTACATCAGGCATAAGCAAAAGTGCTTGATTTTCACATAATATTTAAGAATGATCGCCCTTTCGGATGAGTTATTGTTCTTGTTGTGCAACCCCCAACCAATCAGCTGTGGCATGGGTCCGCCAGCCCATTTTTGGTCGCGCCTCAAAGAAGCCATCCGGCGCCGCCAGCCGGGAGCTTGCGCGCGGCGACGCCCGTGGCGACAGCGCCCGCGGAGAAGGGCGATCTGGGAGCCTCTGCTTGGAACTTGCGGCGTTTGGAATGGAGCCACGTCTTCCTGGTGCTCAGTAGGGACTGACCCAGGGTGTTGGGAAGGGCCCCCTTAAATGAAACCACAAGGGATTGTGTGTATGGGTCATTCCCCATTCCTCGCTGAGCACCAGCAAGTCTTGGGGTCGCGCGACTGGCCAAGTGACTCCCGCAAGGGGCTTCCCCGGCCAACACGCGGGCTCCCACGGCCATCCCGCACCTCGGCAGAGCCAATCCGCAAATCCGGCCGGCAGCTGGGTCTCGCTGAACATATATCAAGCCTCAATCTTGTGTCAGTCACAAGCACTTCCTGCCGACATGAGGCTGGAGACCCATCACGGCGCGCACCACATCTACTGCAGTTCACGCTGTCCTGCATAAAGACCCTGCCGCACTGCGCGCAGCAGCCAGCCTGGCTTGCCGTAAGTAATAGTATAGTGTCAAAAACTCATGGCTTCCCGCTGCCCAAGTGAATGTTTGCAAGCAACATCGGTAATCATGCTAGGAGCACAGGAAAACACACAAAGAAAGACAATACCATGTGCACTACTGCAAATTGATAGCGCTGCTTGCCCGCCAGCCCGGTCCGTCAGTCCATGCCTCCACCAGCCACGACCGGTGTGCAGGCGACGCTGCCCTTGGCACCGGCAGCAACTGCGGGCGCGGCGAAGCAGGCCGAGCACCTGCGTGGCGAATCGAATCGCCCCGCTGGTGGTGTGGTTGACCGACGGTTGGCGCCTATGTTCGGCTTGTGGATGCACAATCCCCGTTGCGCCGAAGAAAATGGTACGTCCTTGATGGCTTGCTTGGGACTGACATTGTAACAAACGTCTTCACGAGAGAGCATTTTGATATGCACGACATGCACCTCTAATCAGCTCCAACCAAATTAGTTTGGTAAAACACGAATGGCACACGGCTGGCTTCGCAATGCTTTACTTTGACGATGCTAGGAACAGAGGTTACCCACGACAAATGTTGGTGTGCATTCATGATTTGACGGGAATGAGTTAGGATGCTCCTGAATCTCTCGCCAGCCGCTTCACATTAGTATGTTCTCAAGGGAACCTGCAAATTTATTCAAAGGCATGCACCAGCACTGTGGATGGCAGAAGAAGTGCTGATCCTTTCTGCCCGGTTCTTCGGCGCCTTGGATTCGATGGTGCCTCACATGTTGGTACATATTCCATTGTCTTTTGATAAGCTAGCCTTGGGTCCAGGTGTGCAAGGATCTTGCTTGCCCTGCCAGCAAGGTTCTTCGTCACGGAGGCACAAAACATCTGACTTGCCTGCTGCTGGCGCGCAGCAGACCTAAACACGCGCAACTACTGGCATAGCACTCTGCACTCGCACCCTTTGCCCACCTTTTGCGAAGCATGCCAAATCCCCGGGGCACACTGCGCTTTGCAGTGACAATCACACTGCCCCCGCCCCCATGTTTGAAGCGCATTGCACATAAGCGCTCAAGGCCGCTGCCTTCCTCTGGTGCGGGTGGCACTCGCTCTTCTCAGCTGAGCTTCTGCCGCTTGGTAAAAAAAGAGCCCAGACTGGCTTGCGAGGTCCAAGGCCGCGTGCGTTTGTTCGCCTCCTCGCTGATGGGACTCTTTGTCGAGGAAGACAGTGCCAAACCTGCAGACAAAGCGCAAGCGCACGGTCAACACCATTTGACACGAGCCAAATCAAAACCAAACCCAAGCAGCTCAAGAGGCCGTAATGAACGCGCGGCGGTCTAATCTTATTGCTATCGAGCCCCTCCATAGTGCATTGTATGATCTTGCGGAAACATAAGAACCAACATTGCCACTTGTGATGCTAAACTACTTCCGTGCTTGCCGCGGTCGCGGCAGCCCTTGCTTTTCGCCGGAACAGCAGCGTAGCGCAACGCGGCTCCAAATCTTGACGTGCAAACTAGTCACAATCAAAACCCGGTACACAAATGGTGAATCCAGAACCATGCAAAGGATTAAGAAGGCGGCCGCAGCTACTTCTGGTTGGGATCGTCCCTTACTAACCTTCATCTACCCGGGTTTTGAGCATGTGGCTCAAATGTTGCTGGAGATCAAAGCCTTCAAAACGATCAGCTGCGCATGGGCTCCAACAGCCCACACCTAACATCCATATTCAAGCAAGTGGCCTGAAAAGCAAGCGGAAACCGGTATGTGGTCAGAATACCTTAGCTCGCCAGTCAAGCACGACGCATACAAACCTGCAAGCTGGAGTGTGGAATTTGACAGCACCTGCTAAACCGTTGCCTTACCGTTGCTTTAAGCCTAGCGACTTGGGTGGAGTGTAGATGATTCCAGTATGCGGCAGCCGGAATTGCGAGTCGTTCAGCTTCATGTCATCCTGCTGCAAGCTCAAGCCGCCGCCCTCCTTTCCTCTCTGCACCTCAGGGACACGTCTTTGCACTCTCGAAACACGCAGTCCCTAACCCGCCAACCCGCCTGATGCGCACCATGCCACCTCCCAAAGTTGGTGGCGGCATTCAAGGCCGCCTCAGGCCACCCAGGCAAGCGGACAGCAAGCGCAAACCGTTGCAGTTTGCACGAAGTCTGTCGGCAATGAAACATGGTGCTGCAATTGGATGAAGATTCTGAGCGCATTATGTATGATTGCATCAAGCGCATTCGCTATGACATGCCCCCAACACGGTACAATGTGCTTGGTCTTGATTGCATCTTGGCAACACCACGTAAAGCAAGCTATCCACCGTTGCCCCTCCAATCCAGCTTAACTATGAACCATTTGAAACTTGGAATTTGACGTTCTAGTTAAACAACCTCCTCAACAAAACTCATCCTCGCAAAGTCATCCAGGGAGTAGCGAGTAGGTGGCTTGTGACTAACGTCTGTCTGCTGTCACCAGTCACCATTCCGTTTCCTCTCTGCCTATCGTGCAATGCCCTCGTGTCACTCAACGCGGTGCCAGGCCTCTGCTGTGTGTGCAGGGCATGCCTCGCTGGCGCCTGCAAGCTTGGACGTAGGCGTGCAAACCAAGTGCTTCTGCCTCAGTGGGCACCAATGCGTTGAATGCTGTGGTCAAACATGGTCAAACACCAACAATACTATGGATGTCATCGCCGCTGGAGTGCTCTGAGCCATTATGAATCATGGCATGCAATGCATAGCTGAGCTCCGTGCAGGGTCTTGTCGCAAAGGATATAGTCCAGGCGGGATCCCATATTGCAGTGTCGCAGATTTGCCTGGACGTTCAAACCGCCGAGACCCGAGGAGCTGGGCATCGCAACACGCATACAGTGCAGGTGACTCCGCTTTTCTGGAAACAAAGTTGATCAGTCATCATGCGGCTCCTATCCTCCGGTTCTTCAAATGTGCTATGCAGTTGAACGGATCCACAAGACTTGTGACCCAAGTTGTGAAGAACATGGCCCAAGCTCATACCCGCATCTGTGGCATACACGCATATGCCAATCTTTCGCACGTCTTTGACACACACACACACACACGTCACTTTCGCGGCGCTTTTGTTGGCTATAAACTTCATTTTCAGGGCGCGGCTTGACTTCGTCTTGTTTCAGCTCCAGCCTGTCGGAGCCAGCAGGTGGAACGCTCTTTGGCTTCCGGATGACACGAGGCAAAGGTGTCCACAAAGCCGTCAGCTAACCAGCTGCTGAACCACTCCACGCTGGCGGATTCGTGCCTCAGAAACACAATCTAGAGTGATATCAGCTGGGCAAACACACACACTCATAAACTCCCATGCCTCACACACACACAGACAAACACAGCCTACCAGCACGGAGATGTGCTTCTGTGACATGTGCCGGCACTCGAGCCACAGTCGCAGCATCATTGAATGGAAAGGCACACACACACATGTGGCTGTGGATGTTTTGAGGGTATGTAACGCGCGACGCGGCGCGAATCTTGCTACGGAGGTCTGTGACGGGAGCCCTTGTTACGGAAGTAAACAACGCGAAAACAGCGCTTGACAAGTGTCAGTAGCGCAATGTGGAGCCCCAGCTCGAAAGTCGCAACTATTCAGCGCAGGTGTAGTACGCAAATCGCGCCTCCGCAGCCCAGGTTGAAAATTTGCAACTACTCAACGCAAGCCAAGCGACGTCAAAAAAGGGGTCGCTGGCCCGGGCTGGGGTTGGATCTGTAACGTGGTCTGTAGCGGCTATGTAACGAGGCGTGTGACGAGGCGTGCGCAGCAAGCAAATCCTCTCTACTCTGCAAGTTCACTCTTCAGCAAAAGAATGCTCTGCAAAAGTCTGCTCTGCAGGCACTCATGGGAAATCCCGAGAGTCTGGATAGGGCATGCGCGTGCGAGGCGTGTAACAAAGGTGTGTAGCGAGGGGTGTGTAAGGAGCCAGCGGGTCTTGTTACAAAGGTCTGTAACGAGGTCTGCAACGAATGTCCGCCGCGGCTCTGTTACAAAGGCGGAAGGGTTATTTGTTTCCTAGGTTCGGCGCGGCCTTTTTTCCCTAGGTTCGGCACGGTGGTCCGGACCCAGAAAAGCTGCAGAGGATTTACCTTTTCGAAGAAGCTTGTTTCCAAAACGCAGCAAAGTCCGCAAAGGGTTCACTTGTTCAAAGGCGCAGGGTTGGTTTAGGGTTGGTTTAGGGTTGGTTTAGGGCTGGTTTAGGCTTGGTTTAGGCTTGGCTAAGGTTTGTCTGGGGCTGGTTTAGGGTTGGTTTGGGGTTGGTTTAGGGCTGGTTTAGGCTTGGCTTAGGGTGGTTTAGGGCTGGTTTAGGCTTGGCTTAGGGTTGCTTGGGGCTGGTTTAGGGTTGGTTTGGGGTTGGTTTGGGGCGGTAGGGCTGGCTTAGGGTTGGCTTAGGGTTGGTTTAGGGTTGGTTTAGGGTTGGTTTAGGGTTGGTTTAGGGTTGGTTTAGGGTTGGCTTAGGGTTGGTTTAGGGTTGGTGTAGGGTTGGTTTAGGGTTGGTTTGGGGTTGGTTTAGGGCGGTAGGGCTGGCTTAGGGTTGGTTTAGGGTATAGGGTGGTTTAGGGCTGGTTTAGGGTTGGCTTAGGGACCGACTGACCTACCGACCAATCCACCGACCGACCGACCAACCGACCGACCGACCGACCGGGGCGACCGACCGACTGAGAGACCGACCGGCCGACCGACCGACCGGGGCGACCGACTGACTGGGACAGACCGGCCGAGCCAAAACCCCAGCACCACGCAGCAAAACGGCCGCGCCAAACTTAGGAAGAAAAAACAAATCGGGGCCCTGTTACAGACCCCTCAACAAAAACACTGCCATGTAGTTGCTGGCCTCTTGACCCTGCCTCCACTCAAACCGGTTTTACTTTTTGCAACTCCGGTGGGCTCCTTCACTTCCAACATCGCAGAAGGAACGCCAAAGGCAGTCCAAACACCACAGAATCAAGTTGCACAAACAGCAAACATCACAACCAAACACCAACAACACAACGCACCACATCACGAGACCGGCCCACAACAAGGTCAAGCTCTAGCCACGCAACCCGAGCCACAAGAACCTTTGCGTGAAGCTCTTTCCGGCTGAGCCTCACCATGTGCGGCGGCTGCCCAGCAACAGCCAGCTCCACCTCCTGAACCCCAAACTGCAGTAGCACCTCCTCTTCAGCGCTCAGGCCTTGGAGAAGCAGAGATAGGCGGGGATTTGTTTCGAGGCCACGATGACCATGCTTTACTCAGGGCTCTTGCGTGAAGTCCGCACATCACGGATTACGCACCAGTCTCACATTCCAAGTCTACTGGGCAGCTGATTGCCAAACACAATGACGAGACGTTTGGCCAGCCAAAGCTAGTTCAACAGAATTCAGATCCTTTGAAGGCACACATTGGTTGTGATATTAAGAACAGCCTGCCAAAACCGGCATGTGCTCGTGAAGTATAGAGCTGTACGCTAAACGGACTCAGCTGCTCCGGCCTTCCAGGACTTGAAGCGGAGTATTGGACTCGCCTGCCCACAATGTCACAGATGTGTCCTTCTTCTCCCATCTCTCGCGATTCTCCTTCTTGCTCTCCTTGGCAAGGCGTTTGAGGATCTGCCCGCGCTTCAGCGGCTCCAAGAGCAATGCCTTGGCTTGCTCCGCCGTGACCGTCACCTCGGACGGCAGCGCTTTCACGGCCTCGGAGACTCTGATCCAAGCACCCGAGCCAGCCGTCACCACGGATGGATTGGTCTCCTCAGGCTGGCACAAGTCTTCAAGTAGCAGGCAAAAACACTTCACGCGTGGGTCATGAGCCTCACATGTACGCAACGCATGCCACGATGATTTGACCAAGGTTCAAGTCCTTGTAGGCAACACATGAAGCCCTGTCCTCGATGGGCCAGTCCCGGTTGCCAGAGATGAAGCCCTCCTCTACCTTCACCCAGAGGGCCTGCGCCTTCACGTCTTGGGTGCGGTAGGTGAGGTTCAAATCCCCGCAAACCACCACCATCTTCCCCAGCTGCCGCATCTCCTCCGTGAATCCCTTGTGGTTCCGATTGAGATGATGTCAGAACCGGATGGATGTTCACAAACAGGGAGGCATGTGTATGGAAACACAAGCAAAACAGCTTTGGTCACGTGTCCCCTTACCACCCTTTACCCACAGGGATTGGCGGGGGAGGGATCCCGACTTTGCCGCTACCAGTCATTTCGTCTTCCCGCTTGGCCAGTTCGAAGGTTTCCAACCGAGTGACAAGGAAAGTCTGCAAACCAGGGACCGGCTACGAGGGACCTTTTGCAAACGGAGAAACCGACTGCGATGGCACCTCTCCTCCGCCCTCTTCCGCAGAAGCTCCAAGAAGCGCAGCTTCTTGGCTGCTGCCGCGACTACGTCGGGCGAGGAGCTGTGAACCTGGGGCAGCACGCTGCTCCTATGTGCGCTTTCGCGCATGTGTGTGCTGCACATAGTCACAGCAAATATGCCCGTCTCGTGTCTCTGCACATGCAAATCAAGGATTTAGAGTTGTATATCACGTGTATGTATGTGTGTGTGTGGGTGTGTGTGTGTGTGTGTGGGTGTCTGTGTGTGTCTGGGTGTGTCTGGGTGTGTCTGTGTGTGTCTGGGTGTGTCTGGGTGTGTGTGTGTGTGTGGGTGTGTCTGGGTGTGTGTGTGTGTGTGTGTGTCTGTGTGTGTGTCTGTGTGTGTCTGGGTGTGTGTGTGTGTGGGTGTGTCTGGGTGTGTGTGTGTGTGTGTCTGTGTGTGTCTGTGTGTGTCTGTGTGTGTCTGTGTGTGTCTGTGTGTGTGTCTGTGTGTGTCTGTGTGTGTCCGTGTGTGTCTGTGTGTGTCTGTGTGTGTCTGTGTGTGTCTGTGTGTGTCTGGGTGTGTCTGGGTGTGTCTGGGTGTGTGTGTGTGTGTGTGTCTGTGTGTGTGTGTGTGTGTGTGTGTCTGTGTGTGTCTGTGTGTGTGTGTCTGTGTGTGTCTGTGTGTGTGTGTGTGCGTGCGTGGGTGGGTGGGTGGGTGTGTGTGTGTGGGTGTGTCTGTATGCATGTATGTATGTATGCATGCATGCATGTGTGTGTATGTATGCATGTGTGTGTGTATGTATGCATGTACGTAAGTACGTATGTATACATATGTCAATGTATACTGTATTTCCCGGCTTCATGCCCCACCGCACCCTAGAGAGGGACGCAGCATTTCAACCACTTGAAGGGCGGGGGGCCCGAATCTTAAACTCAAGGGGGCTGGATTTTCCCTAGGCCACTCTACGGCATGCTAGACAAGCAACACTGGAACTGCTGTAAAACCATAAACGACACTGCATCAAGGGGCATCTACAAGAAGGCCAATAATTTTGAGACTAGGCTATCATTCTTCAAGAGCGGATGTGAGGCAAACTGCCAACACTGCGTGACGGGATGTCAAATGGCCTTTCTTGAGCTTCAAGTCTTGGTTTTGGTAGGCGTGACGGTTGCATACGCAGCCTGGATTGCAAGTGCGTTTGGCTTTGGCTCCGTTGTCCAGGCAGCTTCAAGCCAGGGTTGCGTTTGGGGTGGACGTTAGGTTGGATGGTTTGATGTGGGGTGGTTCCGGCGTGTCTAAGAGCAGGTGTGTGATTGGGTTTGGCTGGGTTCTGGATTTGGATTAGCTTGGATTACTTAATTCGGTCTCTCTCTTTCGGGAGGAATTCTTTCCAAAAGGCATGCGGGGCGTAGACGTTGAACACCACCAGTGTGCCCAGGTCCAGCAACAAGCATCGGCCCTCCTCGTCCAGTGGGTCCTGCAGCACCTTCTGCGTGGCCTTGGCACTGAGACCCTTCCGCACCCAGCAGGCCACCCCGTTGAAGCCGTTGCTCGCCTCGGCCCAGAAGCTCTCGTACTCCTGGAGAGACTTCTAGAAATCCAACATCTCTGACTTTGGCAGGAACTTCGAGCACAGAACAGTGAGCTATCTGTTCCACACTTGTTTATCTCTGCGCCTAAGGTGAGTCAGTGGTAGTGAACCTGCGGCGCAGACCCCTATGCTGGTCTGTCCTCCGTGAGGGCCCCAAACTTCTTGCACTCCGTCGGATTCCTCAGCAGCGATGCTTTGATCTTGGTCTCCTGCACACAGAAAACATCCGCGCGATGTCGCAGCAGAAAGGCATCCAGCGAGCCATAGTGGGACTTGATCAGTTCGTGTGTCCTCCCCGGGCTCAGCTTTGGCAAGTCATCCTTCCCAACCCACGGGTGCTTCCTGTTTTAAGGGACCCAAGAATGTGGGTCGCCTTTCGGTTTCCCTTCAAATACCACTAAGAAAGAGGTACCAACTCCAAAAAAGACACACCCACACGTCATTGGGCGGTCCCGGCAAAGCCAGCCACATTCCACGAAATTAAGTGCAAAGGATTTTCTGCGACGGAAGCGGCAGTGACAGCTGCCTTGCAAGATCCCATGTCGTGCTGAAGGCAAAAAAATCAACAAAAGACTCAGTCGTGCCTGACATGATTAGGGAATGCTTGCGACGGTTCAAGCGTTTGATATCTGTATGTGAATGCTTGCTCATTCTGCAATGGATGTCGTCACATTGAGGCATCACAAATCTCTGTATGTTGATTCCTGTGAGCCAGCAATCCATTTTTGTCCGCAAATGTTGGGCTTTGTCGACGTTGATATCCGCCGGAAGGGGGTCAAATCAGGAGCCTCACAAAGTCTCCAAATGGCTGACGTCTTGTTGGTTGAGTTCAAAATCAGAAAGGCATAAGGATGCCGCAGGCTTATCTCAAGCGATCGGGCCCTTGGCTTGGGAGGGGCGCACCGGGAGACGACCTCTCGGCAGGCCCAGGCGCCCCCTGGCAGGGGAATCATCAAGGCAAGCCTCCGACTTTGGCGAGCCAAACAACACACAAAGCACGAACACCCACTACTCCTAGTAGTGTTAGTAGTACTAATGCTACTAGTAGTACTAGTACTACTGCACTAATATTACTACTACTACCACTACTACTACTACTACTCCTACTACTACTACTACTGCTACTACTGTTACTACTACTACTACTACTACTACTACTACTACTACTACTACTACTACTACTATACTACTGCTGGTGCTGCTACTACTACTGCTAGTACATGTAGGGCCAAGACTTGGTCTTGCCGCATGACGCAATCCCACCCAACAGCCCATCATGCATGAGCTATCCTGCTCATCATGCAATGGACACATCGACACTCACACAAGAGATGCAAACACACACCACCACACAAACATGCACAAATGAACACACTCACACACACAAACAAGCACCATAGAAAGAGAGAGAAAAGACAAACACGCACGCACACACACACACACAAACACAAACACAAGCACACACAGAAAAAACAAAACAACACAAGCAACACAAACACGCACAGAGACACACAGGACATACGCAGAGAGACATACACACACAAACAAACACACACAGAGACACACACAGAGACACACAGAGACACACAAAGACACACACAGACACACAGAGACACACACACACACAGACGCACAAACACGCGCGCACGCGCGCACACGCACGCGCAAAGGCACAACACGCACAACACACACACACAACACACACACAACACACACACAACACACATACACTTTTCACACTCTCACACGCATAAACAACCGTACACGCACAAAGGATGCACGAACACACACATACACACATGACTGACACTCACACACAATGCACACATGCTGCACCAGCCACAAATTAGGATACAACACCCACGCGTTTGACCTCAAGGGTGCGTTGGTGCGTCAAGCTTCAATTGATTGTTGAAAGCTTTGTGTCGAGAGTTGCTTTTTACCCACCACATAAACCCTATCCAACAATAATGAGGCAGCAGTTGGACTGTCCGCTCTGAGTGAACATGCGAAAAGTTTTGCCGAGTGGGGCATCAACTATGACATTCATGCACTTCCTGGGCTGAAACTTCCATGTCTGCTCCCGCAACCTCGCGTAAGTGTTCGGGCAACAAAGTGGAACGCTATTCATCATGTCTAGCCCCAGCACCAGCCACGAATTGTGTTTTGCTGTCGAGGCACAGGATCTTGCGGCCGGGGACCTGCAGATGGGAAGGCTGACCTCAGAAGACAACCAAAAGAACACGGGAAATCGCAGCTAAAGTGTGCTCATTCGGTTCCATGCGCCCCTCGTGCCAATCCTCCCGCCAGTATGTTCAGGACATGCGCTACATGTGCAAGCCGGCTTGACGTGCCGGCAGCCTGATGTAACCAATGAGCTGCTGAGCTGCTGACACCATTCCCCCAAAGCCCACAGGGGCTGCTTCATAAGTTGGCCTCGCGAAAAGCGACCACCCAAGCACCACCCCTTGGCACCTCAAATCAAACTCGCCGTGGCGTTGAACGAAGTGCTAAGGCAGCCACCTGACACTGTGGGGTGAAGCCACCACCTTGATACGAGCATGCGGACCCGATCGCATGTCAAAGGGACCTTCACCCAATTTCTTCGACCGGGACCAGAGTTTTTTCCAGTCAAGGGCGTGCCGTCTCCCCAGCCTTCGATGGCTGATACAGGCCGGTCGGCCTCGCTGGCTCCTGACGCCAAGATGCGCTTGTTCGCCGTCCCCGGCAACTCAAAGGCGCCGGCCATCAAAGGTGGCGGTGGCGGCGAGATCCTAGCATACTTCAAGATTCAGGATTGGGGTGTCTTTTTTAGGGGACCCACCCAAAATGGTGCTTTGTTCATTTTGGTTTCCCTTTAACCAACAAAAACGAGTAATTTGCCTGAAAACCACACACTCATATCCGCCCAACAGACGGGTTTATGTTGACTTCCCGTGCAAGGCCAAGAAAAGCTATGCTTCTCCCTTTTGCGAGCCGAGCGGCTGATGGGCAGGCAACACCAAGTCAGAGACCGGCCTTCGGCCATGATCCTGAATACCAGCATAGCTCCTTCGGAAGTCATGGCGAAACCAGACTGAGACGAGATATTCGAAAGCATGGTCGCTTTTGGATGAGCTCCTGCTTCTGCCATTCGTCTCCCTGCCATAAGATGCAGCTCATCGACACACCCAACAGCCCTTCCAGCGCCAGCCCTTCCTGCCCGAAGCCAGGCCTGGGCCACTCCCTCGACTGCCAGTACGGTGGCTCAAGAGGAGCACCAGGACCTCCAGCACCACCTGGTCCTGGAATGAACGAGCCATGCTGAGTTCTGTGACTGGTGCGTTTGGTTTACCAAACCGAATGATACTCCGCGAATGGGACACAAATGAGCACAGGACGATTTGCAAACTGTGTCGCCCACTTTCAACTACATAGCCTCCGCCGACGCCCCTCACCTGTTTTTCGCCCGGTCACCCTTTCCTGTGCGCCATGGGCTGTGTTGTCTCGGCGACCCTGACCCATCGAGGAGGTCACACAACCACGGGTGTTGCCAATGACATTGGTGCGCACTTGAGACAACTTGCATCGTGTTTGCGACTCTGGAGCCCAGCCTCGGTTGGCCTCTGCTGCCACCTGGGCATGTGTGTTAGCCTGCTAACACTTGAGCGTGAATGTCCTCTGACGAACTCTTGCCCTCTTCTTGCCCTCTTGGCATGCAATAGTTGAACAACGACGCATGATAATCGCATTGCATTTAACCTGCTACGTACCGTACCGGCGCTGCCTGTCTGGCTGCTGCCGCCGCATGGCTGGCCAGGCCCACGCTCCTCAGAACACGCTGGAACCACCAAGTTCCGTGCGATTGACCGACCAGTGCCTGGCACTGCGTGGGGAACTCCGTGGACTGTCAAGAGGTGGCCTGGCGCCTCAAGGGCGAATCTGCTCTTTCATTCTAGAGTGATATGTGGGTATGGGCCAAAATCATACCACCAGGGACCGCAGATTTTCGCCCTGGTTTCCATTCATCATCTTTGGTACCAATGTTTAACCCACACCCATGTCATGCTTCTTGACTCAAGTGGCTTTTGCAGCGGACTCAAAGCATCACGCGCACCTTCTGACCTGGCAGACTGAAATGCCCGCATCTCTGGACTTCCACGGATCCATCCTGAACAAGCGACACCATGCAACACATACCTCTCGGCTGCCGTCCGCCTGGATGTGGTTGCAGCACAAAGTCAACGATATCCTGCTTGGGTGCAAAGAATGCATTCCGTGACGTCACTCCACACCACATGTACTTGGACCGTAGCGCGGCCATCTCAATTTCACTCCTAAAAGCATCGCTTAGACCAAGTCAGAAACCACGACACCGAGTTTGACTCACGTGGCAAAGCCTTCAGTCCTGGACTCCAGCAATCAATACTGTCATCAAATCTGCAAGAGGACCCAACGCCCTTCAGGCTTCGGTTGGCAAACCAACTTCAATCAATCCAAGGCCCGGGATCTAGGGATCCTCTATGAATATGCACGAATCATGTAAAGTTTTCCTCGATCCAACAAGTGGAAGAGGAGAATTGGGTCGTCCCTCTGCTTGCCAGTTTTTTTTTTTTTATTTTTTCTTCGATGGTCCCTGGTCACATCATTTCATATTGATGTTGTCAAGTCAGCAAATCTATCAGCACCGTGCCCCGCACCTCTGCGGCAACGCCTGCGCCACCCACACGGCGTAGCAAAGCTTCGCAGTGAAGATCATCTAGCACCTGTCAGGACATGACAATCCTACCAAAGTCCCTTAAGTTTGGCACTGAATTGACATGTTCATGTCGTCCAAGTGTCTCTCGGCTTGCTTTGTGTTGGACATGGCTTGGATGTCCACCCCAAGCATTAAGAGGTGTCAGATCAAACATGACATCCATAGGAGCTACAATTGTTAGAGTACTGTAGCGGCCCTCTGTATCTGCCTGCGAATCGAAAACGCAATCATTCCGCTGTGCCAGTGAATTGGAGCAGTGGCCACTCCAATCAATAATATGTTTGCTATGTTTTGCGCGTTTGTCAAGCCGCTGCTCTTAGCAACCTCTACCTCCAAAAAGGAATGGATGCCGCCCCACCAGCTGCACAGACGGGCGCAAGCAAGCTTTGCTTGTTTTGCTGACCCAATAGTGGAAGGGTGCCATCCATAGTTTCCGACAAATGAACCCAGCCCAAAAAGGGAGTACTCTCGCTCTTGTTGAACTGCGCTTGCCCCTTTGGAACTGCCTAGGACTTGAACCCAAAAAACATTCACCTCCCAGCAAACTCCAAAAATGTCTCTGGGCATTTCCAGGACCCAAAAAGGCCCGCGCCTTTAAGCGATCTACCAGGGCATGGCGGGGACCTCCCGGAGCTGACAGCATGGCCACCTGAGCCCAAGCTCTCTGCCGGCACTTCTCCGTCGCAAAGTATGCCCTGCAGCCCTACCAGTACGATGGCATAATCAAAAGGAACTAATTTGGACCTATAACATGGAACCTGAGAGCAACCTGCTGGCAAAAGAATTGAATTGCACACTTGGAGCCAAACCATATCAGGCTCGTAATACATCAGGTGGGTCGGGCTTTTGGGTCCTTTTGACATCAAGCCACACTTGGACCAATAAATTCGGGGACACCCTCAACATGTTTTGTTTTTCGTTGGCTTCCCACTCTTGGAACGAGAAGCAAACAAGTACCCCGATACCCCTCTTGAGATTGCTCAAAAGGGATGCGAAAAAGCTCACAATCCAACACTTTTTCTTTACACCGCCCTTTTTAGCTGTTTAAGAGCGCCGCTCCCCCCAAACCCCCGTTCAAAAACCACAAGCACGGTTTTTGTTGCCCCCTCCCCCCCGCCCAATCCCCCAAACCCCCCAAAACACACCCAAACCCCCCCCTTCCCCCCCTCCCCCCGCCCAATCCTCCCAAACCGACCAACCCCCCCCCAAAACCCCAAACCCCAACCCCCCCCCCCCATCCCTCCGTTTTCTTATTTCCTTTAAATTAACCCACGGGCCCCACGGAGCACCCCCGCCATCCAAAGACCCGGGCGCCGGGCCAGCGCCCGGCGCTGCGGCTGCAGCTCCGCCAGGCGCCGTCTCTGCACTCCCAGCCCTCGGATCGTCGGATCAAAACGAAGCCCAAAGGATCCAACCGGACCGGACGTTAAAACGAAGCTTTGCGATGGCCGGCTCTGGGTTTTCATTCTGGGAAGCAACATGTGCTTCAGCCCCACTCGCCCATGTGGGTACGGGTCAAAATTAAACCTCCAGGGGAACACAGGTTTTAGTCAGTGCTTCCATTTACCAGGCTACCATTTTGGGGTACCTATTTTTGACCCACAGCCGCGTGCATCTAAAATCTGGATGGATTTACATGGTGGCTAACCCGAATGTAAATTGTTGGTGTGGGTTTCTAGCGGTAAAGCGTTCTTTTGTTTGTAACAAAAACTGGACGTAGATGGGCTCGGAGCACATGTGTAATGACACCAACCGGGTTTCTGCATGGATCTGCATGGTCTTTTTACGGATAATCGGGTTTATACTATGGATTTGTAGTGGTTTTAAATGGAATTTAAACACACAGGTTTGGATGGTTTGGAGTAGATTTGTAACGGCATCCACAAGCCCGTAACCCAGCGAGGCAAGAACAAGAGCGGTGGAGGGCCACAAGCCTGTGAGCCAAGAAATGGACTTCGTCACGCCGTGAAATACAGCATGCAGTGAGACTCTGCCAAAGGTGATATTAACGGCCCGTCATCTGTGCAGCCAGAAGACCAACCGTGTGCCGGCTTCGCCAGATCTCCCTGGCCTTCGCAGCCAGCCGATGGACCGGGAGCTCTGAGCTCTGCCCGGGTCGACTGTGACACTGAGACCCCGGAACTGGATCCGCCTGTCCAGCCGTCCTGCGTACAGGCCAGCTCGATCCTTTGAGCCCTGCTGTGCATGGGAGCGCCGTCTGTTTGAGCTGACGAAAAGGCTTCAGCCCAAAGGACTACGGATTTGTAGTGGATTTAAATGACTTAAACGGAGTTGTGATGAACTTGTGATCGATTTAGAAGGATCAGTGCTATGGATTCAAATGGGCTTGAATATGGACTTACTCTGTGGTGGACTTAAATGGAGTTGTAATGGATTCAAGTTGGAAAAGATACGGATTTGCACGGGTTTGTGATGATGTAAGCGGATTTGTGATGGGTGTAAGCGGACGTGTGACGGATTAAATGGCTTAACATGTTGATTTAATCGGACTTGGGATGGGTTTGACCGGATTTTGTGATGGATATCGTATTTGTGACCGGATTTGTGATGGTTTAATGGAGTTTGAATTTGGATTCAATCCGACTTGTGGTGGAGTTAACCGGATTTCTGATCGACTCTGATTCAAAAATCGGATTCGTGATGGATCTAAATGGACCTAGACATTGGTTTAGTCGGATTTGTCATGGGATTACTGGTATGGATTTAGACGGATTTGTGATATATGTTTGAACTGCTCTGCGGCTCCAGCGCCACAGCTGCCAAACTCGTAGCGTCGAGAAAGCGTCGAGAAATCGCGTCGAGAAAGCGCGTCGAGAAAAGGGAGGAATCGCGTCGAGAAAGCGGCCTCGCTCCAGCGCCGCTTGCGAGAGCAAGGCCAAGGCGCGTGGCCCTCTCCGCCAGTTCACGGGCCATGTTCGGCTGTGTACGGATGGGCATTGCTTACGGATGGGCCGCCGAAGTCACGGACAGGAAGTACACGCAAGCCCCCCGGAACCCAAAGCGAAGCTCTCGGGTCTGTTGGCCACCGCCGTTGCAAGTCATGCGGATAGCCCGGAGAACGCGCGCTAGAGCTTCCTTCAATCAGCCGTGAGTCCACGAGCCAAGGTTTGACTTCCAATCCTGCCGACTAAGACCTCACAGCAACGCAACCTGCCGTCACAAGCAATGCTTGTAGCTTGGGCTCCAATTTGTTGTCAAGCCCGCCACTGCGGATGTAGCACAAGGCCCGAAGAACCGCGTTCTTGGACGTGTACAACGGGTCTTTGCTCATCCACCCGCGCCCGTCACAAATAGGCTCGCATGGGTATTCCCGCCCTCAAAAAAGCCTCGGGCAACTTGCCTGCAGCGTGCGAAACCCGATAAGAGTTGCACGCCCGCGCGTGTAACCGGATTTGTGATGGACTCAAATGGATGTACTCTTGGGTTTAATCGGATTCGTGACGGATGTAACCAGATTTAGGATTTGCGAGTGAATTTAACGGATGTATGATGGATTTAAACGGATTCGTGATGGATTGTGCATAAGACCAGACCACAAGGTCATACTTTTTTTACATTGATCAAGGTCTGGCAACTGGCTAAGTGGGACACAATCGACCATTCTGTTCCTCTCGTTTGATTCTGCCCTTCCGATGGAAGTTTGTCTCCAGAACCCTCGCGCCAGGGGCCCCCAACGTGCCAGTAGGTCACGCTCGCCCTCCACTATGCGGCAAAACCTGGAGGAAGTCACCGGGGTTCGTGTTTCGTGGACCTGCGCTTGCTTATTTGTTGTTTCCACGTTCTGTGGGTGTCTTAAAAACAAACACATGTTGAGTATATGCCGCAAGCTGGCAACTTCCTTTTTGACTGATCTTAGAATTGGCGAATCTGTAAACGAATCGAGATCTACTGACCTGTGCCCAAACTATTGCAAACGCACCAAGCCTGTGACACACTTCGCTCGGCAACAGGCTGCTGCTGCCTGGCACGCGACGCAGCCATGTCCGAATACTGGAAGGCATGTCCTAAATTGAAGCACCAAGTCACTATGACATCCACAATCCTGCAACCGCGTTCCGCCATCCTGAAAGTGCCTACTCTGCTGTGGCGCTTGAGTTGCCACGTATTTCGAATGGCGTGTTTGTCTTCGCCATCTTGTCTTCTCTTGTTTTAGCACGGTCATTTGGTGGTTGTCGTCTGCAGTAGCCGAAGGCATCGTTTACGCTAACATGTGTTTCCATCTTCAATTTTGATGTCAGTCGTCGCCTCAATTGCAGCAACAATGAGACATGCCAGCTTGAATGACAATGGAGCGAGGATTCTGTTCTCGACAACTGCGCTTCCCGCCTTGCCTGAAATGGCAACAAAAGCCAGTGCCTATACCATTGGTGGGACATCCATCCCCTAACCTAACACCAAAGTTGGACTTAGGCCCCTCATCACCGGCCTGGTCCAGCTCGACAGCCGCTCCGCAGCAACGCAGCCTCCTTTGACACAAGCCTTCACGTGGCCCAAGTCCCTCGGCTTTCCCGAGTCCTTAAGCCAAGAGTAGGAGGGGTCGTGGGGCAGCACAAACCGGAGGAAGCCGTCATAGCCTGCGCAACGAATCAATCGACCCTGCGTGAGTTGCAATTCTTAGGATGCGGCGTAATTCCCCATGAGTGTTCAGGTAGGGCGACAGGACAGCGGCCACCTGCAAAAATGGACATGAGCCGTAGCATGTTCATGTACGTTGAGCTGATGACCCCATCTGGCACGATGCAATGCACGCACGCAGGTCATGAAGAGTGTGTCTGTTTCATTGTCTTCACATGCGAATGAAGTCTCAAGAGCAACTGGCTGCTGTCGCGCTCGGCAGGTTTCCTTTCAGAAGCGAATAAACTGCAGTGCCGACCTTCAAGCACGCTGGCCTCCTCGAGAAGGATTCCCGCAACGCTGTGAGGCTGCCGGCCGAGCCAGCCATAGACATCGTGCACGCTGACCCATCCCTGGCGCTGCTTAATCACAGGCTTCCCAGAAAGAACATGTCCATCAAACTCGTCCAAAGCATCCTTGAGAGGGAAGGGCGAGTCACACACACACACACCAGCTATCCAAAAGAAACACGGGCGCAGGTAGCCCATCTAGAAATAGCCAGCGACCCATGGAATGTGATGACAACTCTCAAAAGCCGCCTGCTGTGTGGAAGACCAGTTGCCGAATAGACTCCTGCGACATCGGGAAAGTGGGCATTTCCTATCCAGTTCTGACGAATAGCTCGAGGCTCGGCGTACCAAAAGCACAAGTCCTGAAGAAGTCGTTGGGGTCAAACTCCCGCACTTCACACAAACGGCAGCGTGCCTGCTAAAGATCAGCACAACTTCACGGCTTCCCGGAAAACAAACATTGCAGCCTACGAGCTGCAGGTGGCAATGCAAATGTGCCATGTGCTGCGAGGCTGTGAGTAAAACCAAGGGTCCTTTGGCGCTGCTTCAAAAGCAGCAAAGCAAAAGTTATCCTCTGCCAATGCACAGTGACAAAGCACCCCGCCATGCAGGCTAAATAAATCAAGCATTTTCAGTGCCGACTTCAAGTGCCAGCGTGAGTTCGACAAACACAAGTACTTGAACAAGCTTGCAGTCTGACCATAGCCCCGCTAATGCAACTACAAAGAAGAAGCGGAGACCTGGCAGCATTGGCGATAAACACAATGACCAACTACAGTCACTGGCACATGCTTGTTCTGACTGATTGGTAAAATCTGCAGTACTCAGCAAGGGCCACAGGGTGAGGTCCATGCCCGTGCCTGTTCTAGGGCCAACTCGCCATCTGCTGCCACCTGACTCCCCAGCTGCAAGAACAGCATGCGACGCTCGTCATCCCTCGATCAGCTGTAACGTGTTTTTGTGGGGAATGATCACGCCCATGTCTCCACTGATACGGACATGTGCAAAATATATACCTGCATACACGTGGGTGCGTCTCTTTTTCAGGGTACTCTTTTTAGGATGGTTTTGAACGAAACCCCAAGGAAACCACCCTGACACACCCATATAGCTACATACACATCATTACACATACATCACGTGGTTGTATGCGATGGCCGACGGCACAGCTGAGAGTGGCACCCTCAGCACCGACAGGAGTGCATCCTCTTGCTCGATGCTGAGACCCCAGGCATCACGAACTGCAGCGCAACAAATTCAGGCAGCAACTCAAATATGTCAGCATTTGACTCATGGAAGTCATGGATAAACCACCCAAGAACCACACACATGAGCATATAGGCCTAGAATTCGCGTACAAACATCAGGCAAACTCTACAGCGATCTGGCGACTGCCACATGGCGAGTTGCGGCACAGTTGGTACGCATGCCACCCGCAACCACATGGATCTGTCCATCCAACTTCTGGCAAGTCATTGAAGGCCTGACATTGAACTTGGCGCTTGCCTGGCGTTTGCGCTGAAAGTCGTCCAATGCAACAAACTGGCAAGTAGAGGCCCTGTCCTAGTTCTTGCCGGCCACTCTTGTGCTCATTGCTCAGCAGAGTATCTAGGTCCAAAATGAAGGCAGCACACCTAATCGAATGATAACAATGTATGCTTACACGATGCCCAATGCATCCGATAGTCTGAAAGTCCCATCTGCATGTCTAACAACTTGGCCACCTGATTTGTCTTTGGTGATCCAAGGGATTGTCAATGCTCCAAAAGGGCCTGAGTCTGAGACTTGCGCCGACAAATAACATGACATGCACAGAACGCACGGGGATGCTCGATCAACGGCAGGGCTTGACTGCACTCTGGCGCGCCGGTTTAGCTCTTGCTGAACATTTGCAACACGCTGTCGCAGCCGACAGCATCGCTTCCCAAGCTTGGAGTCTTTTGCTCGCCAAGCAACTGGTGAACTGTACACCTTGTGTGCGCTGGTGAGCCCGAGCTCAGTCACGCCACGAACGCGCAGAATGCACGTGCCGCACAACAAATCGACGGATGCGACCATCACCGGGTGCTTTTCCAGGGCCTGGCTCACTCCAACAGTGGGATGCTGTTTCTTCCGAAGCAGTCAAGGTTGCCAGCAGTCCTGCATGATTCTCTAAACCAAAGGATGCGGTGAACTCATGGTCTCAGTCTTGTGAACTCATGGTTTGTGAGTTCATGGTTTGTGAGACTGAAACCATCATGGTCTATTGGTCTCAGTCTCCAAGGCATGCGGGCAAGGTACGCTCAAGGCGCTCTCGGCCTGAGGCGCCGGCCCTCAGGCGTTCTGCCTCCAGGACAGCACGTCGGGGCCATGAAAGGCAAAGGCCTCCGAGGCTGCGGGTTGCCGTTGGACAAGTTTGGTTGGTGTGTCCATATTTTCAGGGGACCCCCTCCCCCAAAAGGTGGGTTTTTCATTTGGGGTCCCTGTCAAACCGCACAGAAGGGGTGCCCTCAAAAAAAGACAGACCTATTTCTCAGCCAAAGCAGAACCCAAAGCTTTCACATTTCTCGGCTCATCCATGGGATCAAGCCATTCACCACGAATTGGGCAGCCCAAGGCCTCCTGGGGCGCGGAAGGCGGCAGCTTCCTCCAATCGTAGCTCGAACCTTGGATAAGAATTCATGCGCCGTGGGATAAATCCATACATCCGCTCATCTCTCCATTGCACAGTTGGGATTCATGTCCACCAACTTTGAGGTGGTTTTCTACTAACACTCATATCCATCTGCCTTTTGCTCAAACATAAAGTGGTTCAGCATGATGGCCATGCCCTTCTGCGTTTAAGGCTTCAGCCTGTGACGCCGGGTCTGCTCCTCACCTCTCTCGCCTTTCTGACTGCATCAATTCCCCCATGAAGAACTAGTCTGTCAAAGATGACGCAAGTAGATTCAAACCACAGAAAATACCAAAAGCGCATTGGGTTGAATGGGGAAACGCCATGGCGGGCCTCTTCTTCCTCCTCCTTGGAAATCGGCAAGTAGAGCGCCTCGCAAAGTCAGAGAAGCAAACAACTCCACGCTTCGTCACACGTCCTCATATCTTGCCTCTTCGTGCCACTTAGCTGCCAGCTTCTTTCCTGCCGCGCGAAAGGCAATCCAAGGGTAAAGCAGCAGGAATGATGCATGCCTCGGTTTTCAGTCAGTAGAATTGTCTAGTTCATCCTATTTCATGCTGGACAGCAACCCTTCCCCCTATTAAGCTGCCGTCCATCAATGTATCTCATTTTCCCAGACCCGGTCCAACCTCGACCCCGCCCCTGCGAGTTACTAAGTTGCAGTTGACAAGCACGAAAACTAGATTTAACTCCGGACAGCCAGTTCCCTGTGCGGTTCACCGGCCCTAACGCACTCTAATCTATATTGATCTGTAGTGAACAAATCCCCTAACATTTCTTTTCCAGGCCAGGGGAATCAATTGGGAAGGAAACACGTACACACACAGACACAAATTTACACACATTTGTCCATCACCGTGCGGCCCTCAGCCCTGGTGTCTCTGTTTGGAAGCGAATAAACTACGCTGACCTCCCCATAGCCAACCTCGAAATACTCTACTAACCCAAGTCAAGCCACAAAGATTACTAAGCAAACTCATCTCCTTGTCTGATTGTTTGTAGGAATCCAGTTTTTCCTCTCTAAACATTGGTACCACAAACGATTGAGAAAGGACCAGTTGAGGTCGGAAAACAAACCCTCCACCCCGTGGTCTACCAGCCTTGCGGCTTCGCTCGCAAGCACCGGGCGAGGCACAGCGCCTAAGGAGCACGTCTGTTTGCCGGATGGGTGTGACATGTTCTTTTTTGAGGGGAAGCCGATTTGTTGTGGTTTTACCAGGGAATTTGCAAGGAAGACTACAATTTTGGGGGGATCTCCGGAAAACAAACCCACCCAAATTGGCACCGGGTGGAGTGAAAGCGATCTGAGGCTCTCTGCCAAGAGCCCCAGGACCAGCGCAGCCAAGGCCAGAGAGACCCAGTGATTCCGATCTAGCTCAGCCTGGCGATTCCATAGAAATGCACCTCACTCCCTGCTGAGCACCAGCAAGTTGAAACAAGGGGCGTCAGGTTGCAATTCCTTGGTTACGACCAAAAACAATAGCTGCTCATCCAAGCGCACAGACTCCAGGATGGCTTTTGGACAAAACTTTACAAAGTACGCTGGGCAAACTGCTTTAGCTGTTGGATCAAAGCTTGAATTTTAATCCATGCAACGCGACTCTGCCCCTCATTTCGCGCCGCTCGCACAGCAGTTGCTGCAATCGCGCAAGCCCGGCAATTGCAGCTTCAGACTCAGCGACCAGTCTGCCTGGTCAGCTTGAATCAGAAAGGTGCACAAAAGATCTGATGCCCAGGATCTGCAAGAAAACAACTTTTCCAATTTAGTGGTGAAAGTCATCTTTTGGGTGGTTAATGGTCCCATTGCCAAAGCCTAGGGTGCGGTCTCAGGGCTGCGACCACGCGCACCGGCCTCGTACTTCGCCTGGAAGGTCTGCAGCCGCTCCCTCAGAGTCTCCCGAGTCAGCCCTAAAACATCACCCCCACAAAGGGACGCTCACCTTTCATGGGGCAAAAAGGTGATGTTCAAAGCCCCAAAAAAGGGACATATAGGGACCCCTGCGAGTCTCCCAACCGAAGAACCCATCCAAGATGCTGGCAAAAGGGATGGTGGTACATGTCGCTGGGCCAGATAGCGCTGCCTGCCACATTGTCCAAGTCCTGTCCGTGCTCTGATGGAGATGATGCCTCGTTGTGGAAGGCGGAAAAGTTGCCGCCTCCGCACTGTGGCCAAAGACATACGCTCATTGAAAGCCACTCAGGGCAACCCAGCCAATTATCTGTTCATCATGCGTTGTGCAATAACGCAGAAAAGTGGAAATCTCTACGTCGCCTGTCAAGTAGCACTGATGCTCATCGGCGAAAAAGCTGAAGACGCTGCAGTTGGGTGCCTGCAGTGCAGGGCACTGAGAGCTCCGTGCATTGAACTGGCAAGCCTGACGGAACCTAATCCAGACCTGATGGATCCGAGTCTACGGATAAACTGGGAAGCTCGAGCAAAACCAACAAAACTCTCAGAAGGGGCCTGCAGGCGCTGGAGCAAACGGCTCAGATCTCAAGACTTAAGGCGCAGTCGTTCTTATCACAGCGCTGCTGGCACTCAGCAGCGCTGCTGGCAGAGATCTTTGCCTGCCGAAATGAAAAGGAAGGCGGAGATGGGGATCTTGTGGCTGTGGGTCAAAACCAATAGGATTCCATTTTGGGGTAGGTGCACCACCATTTTAGAACCTGTTTTAGTGGGGATTGGGATGTTCACTGGGGGTATGGGCTTTTGACCCATGGCCATGTGGCTGTGGCTCAAAATCAAACCACCAGACCGCAGGTTTTGGTCCATGGCTCCACTTACCAGGGTTCCATTTGGGGTACCCAGCTTTGAATAGCCATGTTTGTTTTTGCTTAGCTTTGATCTGAAGCGCCACCGATTGGCCCGCCAAAGCCCAGTGTCCTGCTCAGCTGAGGAGAACTCAGTCTGCGCCTGACGCAACGAGCTTCGGACTCAAGACATGCATCATGCAAACAAGCAAACATATTATTGGCTCGACCAAGGGCTTCTGTGAGGCTTTGTGCGTCTGATGGCGGGTCACAGCGCTCAGCTCCCAGCCACAAAGCAGTCGGTGTTGGCTTGGATGACCATGTGAAGTGGAAAGCCGCCCTAGCGGGCAAGCAACAAAAAACCAAACATAGGCATGTCACAAGGTTTGATGCGCTGAAGGAGACATCAGCAAACAAGCGGCTTGCAAGGGTGCCATCATTTCCTTGGAGATGCCGTCTAGTGTGAAGAACTCAGCGACTCATTGCTGTGCCTGAAAATCGTCAGAGTCCGCCACGTACCTCACAGCCATCAATCAATATCACATGACGCAATCTCACGATCACGCTGCGCGGGAAAACTGCACATTAAAACAACGAGAGTTCTACTTTCACAGTAGCAAGCTGCTGTCATTCTGAATTGGCAAGGGCATCACACTGAAATTTGTGGCCAAGTTGCGGCACGTTTGCTTTGAGCAGCACATTCGACACCTTGGTACCAATTTAGGCTTTCTTGTGAAACGCACTAAAACACTGACATGTTTGCAACTGATAGTGTGCTGCGCGCACACAAGCGCGCATCAAGCCAAACAGGGGCATCCCCCCGTTTGGAGCATAGGATCCGGGATCCGGGATCCGGGCAGCTTTCCGAAGCTCCACATTTTTGCCGCGGTCCACTCGTGCCTCAACCTCTTCCACAGCCTGAAAGCTCTCACTCTCTCTCATCTGGCCGTGGGTCAAAACCAATGCTACCATTTTGGGGTAGGTGAATTCACCACCCATTTTAGAACCTATTTTAGTGGTTGGATTGGGATGTTCACTGGGCTACGGGCTCTGGACTTTGACCCTTGGTCGTCTGCACGTGGGCCACTTGGAACCAAGAGAAACGCCCGAGGCCCCGAGGCATGGGCCTTTCCAGGCGGCATCACCACCTCGCTACGCTCTGAGGGCGCCGGGATCATCGAGCCGGGACGCTTTGGGTCTCCCGGCCGTGCCCTGCACCAGCAGGCTTCCAGGCAGAAGGGTGACAGCGCCTGCTCTTCCTTCCACGTCCTGAACCTGCCAGGAAACGGCCGCCAAGCTTCGTCGAAGTGGCAATTGCGCGGCGTGGTGAGACTCCGCGGAGCTCATGTGGCGACCTGCCCCAAATTGCCTTCAGCCGCAAACTTGAAGCCTTTCGTTTGATATTCCTCTTGACGAAAACGCCTCAATTGGCCATCGGGAACGCATTTCAGCCTATGAAGCTTCCGTCACAGCCCGTGTCCGGCCATCGAATCAAGCGGCAAGCCTTGGACAATGGCACGTTCAAGGCGTCGGCCAAAGTTTCTGGCAAACCTTGGCAAATCAGCTTCCCAAAGGAGAGGCTGGAGATGCGGCAAACCTTTGGTGCACACTCGAGGCAGAATCTAATTTCCGGCATCGATGAGCAAAGGGTACCAACAACATGTAGCATGTTCTACACTCATTCTACACCCCCACGCAAACGTGTCTCCCAAGAAAATCAATGACACTTGGCCGGTGGCCCAAACATATCTCTCATCTGCAAATGACCCAACCAATCGCAAAGCCATTCAAACCAATACTAGACCAATGCCACACCCGTAGCAACGCCGAACAGGCAGTGGAGCAACAACACCATTTAATGCATTGTTGGTGGAAGCAGCCAAGCCAACAACTCTGCGAGAGGGTACGCACCAGCGCCTTATACAATGTGATTGGTTCAAGGATGCTAGGAAAAAGGTGTGAGCCAGGACAATACGCATCCAATTCTAAAACACTTCTGCATAACCACCGCGGCAACTGACACCAGCTATTCCCAAAACCAGGGGGGGGAGAAAACACACACACACACACAATGCTAAATCATACTAACTCGGAGACTTCTGGAAGGAGACCAAACCAAACCTTCAATCTGAACTGCTTTAGTGACTTTTTGGATGACTCCTCCCACACTTTGATTGAAGGGGTGCCCTCTAATGAGTAACCCACATTACCCTGGAACCAAGCTGACTCCCCGCAAGCAAGTGGCTGCATATCCCTAGCTGGGAGCAGCGCTACCGTGCAAGCTTTGTAACTGCGCCTCTGATAGCTGTCCGAAGTCCTCAGCCATGCCCCAATCTGAAACTGGTTTAGCACCTGTCACACAAGCTCAGCCATGCGCCACGGATGCTATGTGAGCCTCAGGTGGTTTGCAACGCAGGGCCATTCATGCTTGAGAGGCGATGTGCATGGCACGTTGAATGCAAGGTGTGCGATGTTGACAAACACATTCATAGCTTTGCAGAACATACACTTTCGCACCTGCGGAGTGTAGCCTTACAATTCAGGCGACCAATACTCATCATCCCTAGCTTCACTTGCGACATCTGAGGGTTTCGTTTGCGAAGCTTTCTGTGTCTGCAGTGATGGAGGGGTGGCATGCCGCACATGTCTGAACTCAGGCGCCTCGAAGCGGGCAAAGCAAACTGCAGGACCTCCTACAGCCTGGCAGTGATCGCATCTGCCACTTACGGCAAGCTTCTTCTCCAAAAAGAACACATGCTACGATCAAATTCCCTGCCCCCATTCAATCGTGGACACAGTGCTATTCTTGTAAGCATTGTACCTCATGTCACAGCCACTGCTCACTATACGGGAAGCGCGCCAAAACAGTCTTCCGTGTTTGACTATGTCGTCAAAGTTCGAATCTCTGACTTGCCTCGGGCGCCCGGGATGCAAATGCCAGCAGCGGATGCAGCGAGCAAAACCCGGACGCCCTGGCTTTTTTGTGAGCTCCAGTATAGCGGAAGCACAGAGCACAGCATCATAGGTGTCCTTTTAGGGGCAACAAATGGCCCTGGTAGATGATTCCAAGTAAACCAGGGCCAGCTATTTTTCTACCAAAACAACCAAAAAGGACACCTATGTACACATGTTGAAGCCTGCACACATCCTGTGCATTGCGCTGCAAATACTGCGCCTCCAAAAGGTAAAATAGCCGCAGCCCGATGTCTGCGCACACATCGCCTTGGGTCTAACTGCCAAGGAGCAACTGAAAATTGCGGCCTTTGCCAGTATCAGTACGAGTTGGTGGCACACCCCCTTCTCTCAGTATGACCATCAATATCGATCCATGGCGACGTCATTGGTTCGGAACCCAGCAACCAGCACAGCACAGGCCCAGTTGACTTGGGGGCCAGCTTGACACGAAGCGATTCCATCCTAGCTGACAATTGAGACACAAAGACACAAACAAACACACAATGTCCTTTTTGCTCTCATTGAAGCCAGGAAGGGCAGGAGAGAAGGCCTGCATGCTCCGAGACAACTCACACCAGCTGCTGAATGACCCTTTTTGGGTGGTGCATGGAATTGACTGGTTGCCAAACAGTGCCGGGCTTGCCACACCAGAATACGGGCACCTCAATCTTGGCATCTCGGCTTTCTCACAGCATCAAACAAATCTGAACAGGTCATGCCTGACACAGAGCATATGCAAATTCTGAGGCAGCAACTCGGTGTCTGCCAGTTTGCTTTCCTGAACCTGCACGCACAATTTGCCGGATCCGAGCACTTCCTGTCAGCCCAACTACCCCCCCCCCCCCCCCCATTTAATTAGTGCCTGCTGAGAAGGCACTCAAGTAGATGTTCACATTTTGAGGGTTAAGGGGCACGCATGTTGATCAGGCCGCGGCCCCGCGCGCCTCCTGGTAGTGCGGCGGCAATGTGGTCAGCTGGGCATGAGCATGCGGGCCACCCGGCGCTGCCTGCCACGGTTACACAGACGTTTTTCAGCTAAGACTGGCCAAAATCAGGCACTCCAGGACTCCAGAGCGCTTAAGGCACAAACGATCATTCACTGTGGCAGCTCTGACTTTTTGAATCGGCACAGCAAATTGAAAGGTTGCCGAACAGGCAAGAGCTAGGAGTGAAGGTCACTGGATCAGTGACTTAGCCATCCATCGCGATAAGAGCGATTCGATTCGATTCGATGTTCCTCACCTGGGACCTTGTTCATAAGTCCCAGCGGGGCGAAGCCACAATCCCATTCAAAGATGTTTTAGGCAAATGACCCAGGATAATGATGGGGGATGTGTCAGAACCAAGGACACCTTATCAATTCACTTGAAACGAGACCACTATGAAACCACTCGTTCTCCGGCCTGCACTTTGGCATTTGAAGGCGCGCCCTGCCAGCCGACCGTGAGCGGCGAGCTTTAGAAGGCGGCCGAAACACCCGCCAGTGTCACTGGACAACCCGGTGTAAGGCTCATGGAACTGCTGGAGCACAGCTCCTCAAACCCCGGCAAGTGGCGTGAGAACACTTTCTCCCGCTCATCTTTTATGTCCTCGAATTCGAATTATTATTATCTTTCTCTCTCTCTCTCTCTGCCTCTTTGCCATCCATTCTGTCCTGGACTCATAACTCTCCCTCTCTCTTTGTCTCTGCCCTCCCCTCCCCCTCCCTCCCTCTCCGTCCATCTCGCGCTGCGTCTGCTTTGCATCTTGCTGCCTCCCCCTCTCTGCTTCCTTTCTGTCTCACTCCATTCCCGTGACTTCGTCAGTACACGAATCAGAAAAACATATCCCTCGCTCTCGTCTCCCCTGCAGTATGAACTCCAGTCTTGTCTCGTTTGCGGACATCCCAAACCCGGTCCTCGAAAAACAGGAAGCGAACAACATTACGCAATGAGACTAGTCAAGACAAGAAGTAAAGCACCATTTCCCAGGTCCTGCGCCGTGATGCCAGCAAGACAGGAGAGACACTCGGCCGACCTGACACGAAAGCCTAACGAGCCAACGCTATGGACCGCAGGGCGCTTCAGGCGCTGACACCTCGTAGCAGCATCGCCTCATGGGCGGCGTCGATGTAGCCGCTGTAGCCATCGAGGTGGTAGAGCTGACCTGGACCTGGAGATCGGCAGCCAGCTCCACATGTGCAACTTTCGCACAGGTTGTTGAAATCATGCCGTCACTGCACCTCCAAACAATTTCAACATGACTAGAAAGCCAAAAACATGTTCTCTGTGCCTTGACGCTGTTCTCAACGATCTTCGAGGTTGTGGTTGTGTTTGAACTGCTTGAACTGGATGAGCTGCCTGGGAATGTGTACTCGGCAAAAGCGGCCATGTGTACACTGTGGGCAAAATGTGGTAACATTATCCGGGCTCTTGCGAGTCTCGACAAATGTGTGACATGAAGTTTGCTCAGGCTGATCAAGCAAATCAGCCCTCCGCTGGTCGTTGTTGGAGTGTTCTCACCTGAATTCAGAAAGCGCAATGTGGGTCTGTCTGTTTTTAGCGTACCCCTGTTTTGGTGGCTTTAAAGGGGAACCAAGAGGAAAACCACCATTTTGTGGAGTCCCCTAAAAAACGACCCACCAATGTCGCACCTTTTTACTAACCAGGAATTGAAAGTTCCGTTGAGGCCAATGCAAAGTCCGAAGATCCAATCAAACTCAGACCTCAGATCACGCACACGCACACTGACAGTCCAGTGTTGAAGCGCATACTGGTCACTATGCTCCTTTTGCAATATCTTGCGCGCTTCAACCTACATCCATCAACACACGTGCACAAAGCTCAAAGGCACCGGCTTGGATATATTGCCATCCACATCAGCGTCCAAGAAATGGAAGGATTCCGCGGAAGATGGCTTCCTCACGGCTGCAAACTCACATTCGGCCAATCCCAGGCGATCACGCTCGGCACGTCAAGCCAACCTGCTTCCAAGCCACGAGAAGTTGAACGGCGGCACATACTTGGCCCAAACGAGAGACCACCTGACAGCTCAGCTCCGGTCTTAGTAACATCGGTCAGTGCAGCTGAATTGCAAAGCAGGCCTCGACTTGTTGAGTCTTCCAGCAGCAGTTGTGGCCTTGGTGTGTATCAATCACCCACTCAGCCACGCCTCTGAGACTCTGTGGCTCGTGCCCATGCCTGACTGCTGTTCCAGAATCGGTCGTGTAAGGACCTGGGACCAAAGCAACCACAGGTGTCAGTCTTGGAAAATAGATGGCCCTGGTAAATGATTGAACCACCAGGCAAGCCAGAGCCTTCTATTAGTCTATGTCTAACCAAACTAATGTCTAATCAAAACACCATGCCAGGGACTTGCGTGGAGGGCATGCACGATGTCTGCGCTTGACGGCAACCTTAAGCTCGCGGCACGCAATATGGAAATATGGCTAACTCCTCACAGTTAAATGTAAACGGTGGGTTTGGGGCTCGATGTTGGATCTATGAGCCTCGTAGCAAGCAAGGATGCATGCAGTCATTTCAGACGCTGTCCGTCGCAGCGAGGTTGTAGGCCGTGGTGAACTCCGGCTTAGAGACCAGATTGTCCTCCGCAGCAAACATTCTAAATATATCTGAATGTTGCATTGCTGACGAATTGCAGGACGTGCTTCCTCCTTGTCCAGTCGGTCTATGTACTTGAAGGTTGCTGATGCCTTCATGATTCATGACACACGCACACACCATGATTCATGACCACACACACAGACACACAGACACACAGACACACAGACACACAGACACACAGACACACAGACACACAGACACACACACAGAGACAGACAGACAGACAGACAGACAGACAGACAGACAGACAGACAGACAGACAGACAGACAGACAGACAGACAGACAGACAGACAGACAGACAGACAGACAGACAGACAGACAGACACAGACAGACAGACAGACAGACAGACAGACAGACAGACAGACAGACAGACAGACAGACAGACAGACAGACAGACAGACAGACAGACAGACAGACCAGACAGACCGACAGACAGACAGACAGACAGACAGACAGACAGACAGACAGACAGACAGACAGACCGACAGACCGACAGACCGACAGACCGACAGACCGACAGACCGACAGACCGACAGACCGACAGACCGACAGACCGACAGACCGACAGACCGACAGACCGACAGACCGACAGACCGACAGACCGACAGACCGACAGACCGACAGACCGACAGACCGACAGACCGACAGACCGACAGACAGACAGACCGACAGACAGACAGACAGACAGACAGACAGACAGACAGACAGACAGACAGACAGACAGACAGACAGACAGACAGACAGACAGACAGACAGACAGACAGACAGACAGAGAGACAGACAGACAGACAGAGAGAGACAGACAGACAGAGAGAGACAGAGACAGAGAGAGACAGAGACAGAGAGAGACAGACAGAGACAGACAGAGACAGACAGAGACAGACAGAGACAGACAGAGACAGACAGAGACAGACAGAGACAGACAGAGACAGACAGAGACAGACAGAGACAGAGACAGACAGAGACAGACAGAGACAGACAGAGACAGACAGAGACAGACAGAGACAGACAGACAGACAGACACAGACAGACACAGACAGACACAGACAGACACAGACAGACACAGACAGACACAGACAGAGACGGACAGAGACAGACAGAGACAGACAGAGACAGACAGAGACAGACAGAGACAGACAGAGACACACAGAGACACACAGAGACACACAGAGACACACAGAGACACACAGAGACACACAGAGACACACAGAGACACACAGAGACACACAGAGACACACAGAGACACACAGAGACACACAGAGACACACAGAGACACGAAGAGACACACAGAGACACACAGAGACACACAGAGACACACAGAGACACACAGAGACACACAGAGACACACAGAGACACACAGAGACACACAGAGACACACAGAGACACACAGACACAGAGACACAGAGACACAGACACACAAACACACAGACACACAGACACACAGACACACACACACACAGACACACACACACACACACACAAAAAAAACACACACACACACAAACACACAGACCACAGACACACAAACACAGACACACACACACCCACACACACACACACACGCACTCCTTGCCAGTCCCACTGCAAAGCCACTCTGCCACTGGTCTGCTGCGCTTGCCGTATCGTGCCTCTTGCGTCGTGCCGTTCTTCTTCCTTTCTTTCTGCCACCTCGGCAGGAAAAAGTATTCAGATGAGACGCATGCGCTTTCCCAGCCTTGTCCACAAAGCATCCCAGGCAGGAAAAGGTAGGCCAGTCACCTGGCACATCAAACTGACGCTAAGGCCAGTGACGTCCACTGATTCACCCAGCACTGCGCAGGCAACCCTTCCCGCACAGCACCTTTTGCTTCAAGCCTACTGCACTTGGGCAGGCGCATTCTTGCCCACTGTCTTGTTCGAGGAAATGTTCCAAGCGCCTCATCCAAGGACAAAATAAATGAAGACTCAAGACTCATCCAAACAATGAACATCCTTGCCCAGTCCAAGCTCTCTGCTGGCAGCAGTGTCAGTTTGCGAGGAAATCCATGCGCTCCAATTGAACACAAGCTCGCGAGCCCATCTCGCAGACCTGACGCCCACGAGCTGCAAATCTTTCGGCCGTGTGGGTTGACTTGTATGGCTCGCCAATCTCTGAAAAATGACGAACACTGCAAAGTGGGGAACCGCGACCAATTCAACCCCTCCGAGTGCAGCCAGGAAGCTGCCCTGCATCCGTAGAGGAGTTCATCCATGGGGGATGAATCTGGCTCTCTGATGTCACACCAACCCTGCGCAATTCTCATGAAACCGGTTCCTCGCATATGTTTGTCCTGCTGTTGATGCAAATGCCCGTGGCGTCAACCAGGTTGGAGAACGAGGCTTCAGCTGTGTCGCCTTGTGGCAATTTGAATGTACGGCATAGCTTGACATGCTGGTCTCCTACAAGGCGGCTGCTACCAAGCGGCAAGTGTTCATGTATCAAACACGGGCAACCAACATGAATTAACTCGTGTATGCAGCGCAACACAACCTCAAAGAATGCCGCTCACGATTCACTGACACAACAACTTGACATTTGTGTTGCGTCTCACAACTAGCCAACCACGCACACACACTCACCTTCAGAATTCAAGACGCTGCAAGCAGGCTTGAATCAGGGGTTGCGCACTTATGGCATTGTTGCTTCACAAGCAAACATGTCCAACAATGTCCAGCGCACGTCCGGTGACATTTGAACAGCTTACACTGTTCTGTCTTGTTTCACTCATTCATACCTTGTTCATGCATCGTTGTCATGCAACACATGCGCACTGTTCAACATACCTGCTCACTCGAGCCTGTAAATGCATCGATATCAGGCACGCTTAAACGGTAAACTTACATTTACAGACACTGCTCATGTTGAAGTTCCTGCAAACATGCTATATCGCATCTGGAATAACAACTGGTTGGTGAGGATCCTTTGAGCATGTTGTGCAATGAAATGATTGAACTACACGCACATGTACAACATCATGTTTAATGAGGCTAGTGAACCACGCATGTGCCTTTGTTGAACATGTTTCACTATGGTGCGCATCATGCGCAGCGCACGCCGGTTCATGCTTGTCTGAATCACACAAACACACACACACACAATAGACTGATGAACTGCATTTACATGATTCTCATCACGGTGAAAATTTTATTCCAAACTGTGTCCAAACCAGTACAAGGTTTGCATTACGTATTGTCACTCTTTTGATTGAATGACAAGCTAATTACACAATATACACATCTATCTGGCATGCAGCAACCGTTGCTGTTGCCCTGAATTCTTGTATGATACACTGGGTGTGTAATGTATATCATCTTTGAGCGAGACATGCAATAAATCACACATTGAGCGCAATTAATCCTAGAACAGGAAGAATACTTTGACCACCGACAGCATCTTTTCACTGAAGCTTCAACACCGAAGGTTCTATATCCTTTCATCATTTGATGAAATTTCCTCGGATGCCATCTTCCGGCAATTTTCAAGGATCCCGCTCAGACTCTCGAAATCAAGGCGGCCTCAGGGCAAATCAACGCTGAAAATGGCGTGGACATGAAGTGAATGGCTGGGCGCGACTGGCCGTAAACATGGAGCCAACAACTGAGTGATTCGACAGGCCAAGCTCACATGCAGCACAGACCTTGCTTGTGGAAGGCTTTCTTCCAACGTCCAAGCAACCCCAGACCTGATTTTTCCCAAATAGTGTTTACAGAGCCGCCCGCCAAACGTGTCTTTTGTTGAAGCAAAATGCATATTTGATGGCAGGGATCTGGCCCGCGGAGGGTCGCGCTACGGCGCGGGGAAGCCTCGTCTGTGGCGCCGCGCCGATCTTCGGATTTGTGTGTTGAAGGCTGGATTCCATGGCCAGCGCGTGATCTTGTGAGACTGGTGTGTGCGTTTCGTGGTGGGCGCAGTATGCTTTGCGCTGATGCTATCGTTTGCGTCAAGCGCAGCATTTTCATAATCCCTTCCCCTTAGCAATAGAGGTCTCCCTAATCATTAATAATTGTTTCCAAAGTCCCAAATCCGGGAAACTACTGTTAGAATAACCAAAACTAAACCAATTCTAAAGTAGGTATTGTCAAGCCCGCACTCAAATCCAGCCCCATTAGGGGGACCCGAGGGCACGTTTCCTCTACCACAGCTGTACTACAAAGTCGCGACTTTCGAGCCGGAGCTCCCGGAGCACATTTCCTTCACTACGGCTGTACTACGAAGTTGCGACTTTCGAGCCGGAGCTGTACTACGTACACAGTTGCAGACAAGGTACCAGCAAAACCCGCCCTCCCGAGCCAGGGGACCCCTAATAATGAAAAATTGCTTTGCTGGCAGGGATATATATTTAATCAGGGGAGGGGGGGGGGGTTTTATTTGTAGGGGCAAGGGATTAACAGGGTCTCACTTCCTGGCATGCAGCATTTCACGCGCACCCTCTGCGGAGATCGTGAGTGTCGAAGCGCTCTCGCTGTGGCGCTGTGCGAATGTGTCTTCAGCTCGGCGAACCCTCGGCGGAGATCGTGCCCGTCGAAGCGCTCTCGCTGTGGCGCCGTGCGAATGTGTCTTGGTTGTGGCAAACCCGCTGCGGAGATCGTGCGTGTCAAAGCGCTCTCGCTGTGGCGCCGCGCGAATGTGTCTTGGTCGCGACGAACCCTCTGCGGAGATCGCTCTCGTCGAAGCGCTCTCGCTATGGCGCAATACTTTTTTTTGAGGGTTTTGCGACGCGCAAGTAGTTCGCGAAGAGCATCCGTGCAGCTTCGGCTCGAAAACCGCAACTTTTGAGTACACAAGTAGCACGCGAAGCGCGCTCCCGCAGCTCCAGCTCGAAATTTGCAACGTTTGAGTACACAAGTAGTACGCAAAGCGCACTCCCGCAGCTCTGACTGAAAATTTTAGTTTCTAAAAAGTAAAAACTGCGCGCGACGTGCGCTTGAAAATCACAACTTTTAACGGAGCGCGCGCTCTCGCAGTCGCCCCCCCGTTCCAGGCCCGAGCTCCGCACACATTGGCCGGCATTGCCCACACGGGGTCCCCACCGTTACTTTCCCTCAGCCAACAACTCACCAGGCTCTCTGAACACTCCTCCTTCGAGCGAGAGATTTTGACTTTGGAGCCATGGATCAGCAAGGGCTTACGTGAATCAAAAGGAAAACATGACTGCGGGCCCCATCAGGTTCTTGATTGAGCAACACCCAAAAGAAACAACCGTTTTTGAGCTGAATAAGGTTGCCCTTGAAACGGGCAATGACTGTGTGGCGATCTGGCTGCCGCTCACGACTTGGCTGCCCGACACCATGCCAAACATCAACTCCAAGGGGCGGTATTGCAGGTCCTGCGCAGTCAAACATACTCAAGGTATGGAGTCTGATGTGGCATAGTGTATGCAAGCTAACCAAACGGCGCCACACACGAGCACGCGATAACTCTTTCATCCGAGCAGTGTGTTGGTGCCAGGGACTCATCTTCCCCTGTCAGATGACCAACGCTGGGTGGGCCTCATGGGCCACCCAACTCACAATTCTCAAAAACTGAAGAACGGGTGTGCAGACTGATAGCGCCCGCCCCTGAGCCGGGGCCCGTGGCACCCAGGCCACAGGGGGGTCTGCCACCAGGGGAAGTGAGTCACCCACCGGCTCCGGTCACGGGAGCATGGGTGGGCCCACGCTGAGATCAAATGCATCTCCATTCAGGAGACGCGGGAGAAAAACAAACTCCTCACAGAGTTCCTGCTTGGGGACCCTTTGCAAAGGGTCGAACCCAGAGAAATCCGGGTGCGTCAGCTCATCAGCCCATTGATTGAATTCACGGGGCACATGGTTGGCCGCCAGCGAGCAGCCATGGGTGTGGAGCAGGAAGACCAGCTCCATCAGGATCGCCGCCGTGTAGGGCTTCTTGGATCCAAGGTTGAGCATCGCCATGACGTTGCCCTGATTGTCACTGCCCACCGGGAGTCGGACCCGGGAGGACAGAGGGCCTTGGTGCGTGAGGATCATGTTACAGAGGAAGAGCGTGCCCAGCATCTCCAGAGCCGCAATCCTCCGCTTTGGATCCCCATTCTTGAAAGCCCAAGGGTACTCCTCCACGTGGATCTGCTCATGGAACCAGTACACCTCCTTCTTGTCCGGTTCTGTTGGAGCACCAACCTCCCACGAACGCCAGTCCGTCGTCCGAGGCGCTAGCGTCGCTGCAACCCCACCAAGAGGACTTCGGCAAGTAGGGGGAGTACTGGACAAAAGGGGTGTTGAAGAGGAACCTCAGCATGAACGCCAGCATCCTGACCACCTTAGGGGGTTTTCCCACCGTGGTGGTGGCCATCTTCCAGGCCCAAAGTGGCTGGAGCATCGACTTCGCCAGCGGACATGCTGCCGTTGCCCATTGGATGCGGCCCAGGGCCAGTGCGTCTTCTTCCAGCTAAGTGGGGTGCCCAATGCCAGGAGTGTGGCCAGCAGCGCCACTGCCAAGTTCACTGCCCCCTCGCTTCGAAGCAGCCACAGGAAGTCGTCAACGAAGACGAAGTTCCAATCCACTTGGGGGAAAAGCGCGTAGAGGACCCTGAGCAGAAGGGCTGCCAGGCGTCCCCAGTAGGATTGGGCACTGGCCATGCCATATGTGCCTACCTTGTTCACCCACCATTCTTCCCCCAGTGAGGCCACCTGGAACCGCCAGTCCTTCCTGAGGACCTTCACTCTCCGGTGGGCCTTGGTGACGTCCGCCTTGAGCAGCACCCACCTGGTGCCCGGCTCCGGCCATAGCCAGCCCCCAGGTGGAGGTTTGACGATCCCCCCCTCGGGGCCAGAGGCACCCTTCAGCTGCAGCATGTAGCCAATGGAGAGCTTGGACCCCATCCAGCACCGTCGGAGCCGTCGTCCTTTCCACCGTCTGCCACCGAGCCATCGTAGATCGTGCGGATCTTGTCCCCCTCGTCGATGCCCGCCCATCGGCCGGGACAAAGGTCCTCGCTTCCGCAGCCACATCGCGATGCTGCCTCTTCCTTACTGAAGGGGCCCTCCACCATGCCCATGGGAACCTCCTCCAGAAATGTGCCCCGGATGAGCTCGCTGAAGTGATCCGCCGAGGGGTAGTTACCCCTGCCCATTGGGTGGGGGAGTTCCTGGAACTCCGGCTCCTCCCCTTTCAGCTCCTTCTTGAGTGGCCAGATGCCCGGCGAGGTCAGGGGTGGGTCCGTGACCCCCAGCGGAACCCCTTGCTCCAGGTCCCGTGGAAACTGGTGGTCGGGGTCCTGAATGTTCCGAGCCACGCTGTACAAGATGTCCAGGAAGAAGGGTTGGCCGGCCGCTGGCCCCCGCGCCAGAATCTCCCTGATGTCCTCCAGCAGGTCCTCCGGGAAGGGATGTGACCCATCCCCCAACGAGAGCGACTCCTGGAGCTTGTCCCCCCACGGCGAAGTGAGGACACAGATTTTGGCCCCCAGCGCTGCTGCTTTGGACAGCGGCCGGGCCCACGGGGCCAACCGTCCCAAGGAGGGCTTTCCTCCACCGTCTCTTAAGGGACGCTGCTTGAACGCCATCTGGAGGTACATGACCTTGTCGGAGATATTGGGGTCGGGGGTGATCGGCAGGATGGTAGGCCGATCCGAAATTTCCATGCCCTGGTGTGCCCATGGGTCCAGGGGAAGAGTTCCCCCCCCAAGTTCCTCCACCTCGCCAGTCCTCTGTGTCGATGTCCCAGCCTCTGGAGTGTCCGAGGCCGAGACCGGAAGTGATCCCAAGGTCAGACCTGCCAACGCTTGTTGGCCCGCCTTCAGCCTCCGGGACTGGCGCTTGTTGTCCCCCGGCGTGCTGGGAGAAGGTTCCCTTGGACGCCTCGGGGGGGTCGTGGGGTTAGCCTGGGCAGCGCCTCCAGGACGGGTCCCGCTCGGCAAAGGATGGCCGCTGCTAGACCCTGCATCATCTGTTCCGGGTACCGGCTGAGGTCACTGGAGTTGAGCTTTTCTTTTGTGGGGTGCGACCCGTGGTTGCAACGCAGGTCATGCCAATGGTGGAGAGGAAGGTCCGTTGACAATGCCGTGGACTTCACAACCACCTGGCCCAGGCGGCACTCATCGAACTTGATGAGGGAGTGGTGGAGTGCACTCGCCCATTGAATGTAGGCCCGCGTGACCCAGATCGATGAGCACCTAGCTGCGCTCGGGCTCTTGCTGCACTCCATCGGGTCCATCGGGTGCTCCAGGAAAGAGGAGCCAACCTGCGGGACCGTCAGCTGACCTAACCCCTTGTAGGCCAGCGAGGTCAGGACATCTGACGGAGCATAAGCACGCTGTCATTGTCCGTGTCCTCCATAACCCGGGGCTCCAAGTCCTCCAAGCCCCACAAGGTCTGCTCCGCTCTGCCCCTCACCTGCAACGGGCCACCCGGTTTGGGGAACCACCTGAGGATGCTCCACGTCCTGCAGTTGGGGCCCCCTCCCACCAATGCGACCTTGCCCGCCATGGCCATGGAGCACATCGTGGAGTAGGGCTCCCTCGCCCAGCATGTCCTGGCCCAGGTCTCCGCCCTTTCTCCTGATATCCACCGCCCAAGTGTACTCCGAGAAGGCCGGGTAGGCATGGAGGTAGGCATCCAGGGCCCCCGCATCATCCTTCTCAGCGTACAGCAGGATGAGGGACGGCTTTGAAGATCCCGGCACTGGCCTCGGCGTCCACCCCAGTCTGAGCCTCAGTCTTTCCGGGATGTGCTGCATCCATGGGAAGGTGGGGTTTGCCCCCCCTAGGGATTCCGTGTCCTTTGTCTGATCCCCCCGTCATCTGTCCCCGGGCTTGATGCTTGCCCTGGCGGTTCTTCCCGCCCTTGGAGCGCCCCTTGCTGGGCGGATCCTCACCTCTGGGTTTTTTTTGGGGGGTCTTCCCACTGCCTCGGTGGGTGCGGGGGAAAGGGATGCTTCCGCCCTTCTGGAGTGCCCTGGCTGGGACCGCTCCTCTTCTTCGGTGGAGGGGCTTCCGGGGCCCTGGAGAAGTCCCCCCCCATCGAGGCCGTCCTGGCCTCCCCCGCTCTGTCTGCCTTCCGCTGTGGCTCTGGTGGGGCTGGCTCTCCCCCTCTGTGTGCACTCTCGCACTGGTGGCCTGTGATCCCAACTGAGACTGGGAAGCCACGGGGCCTATGGCACCCTGAGTGGCCTCCTGTCACTTGGGAAGGTGAGGGCATGCCTGTGGCGCATGCTTCGATGGGGGGGCATCACACACACACACACCCATCCTTCCTGACCGGGCAGTTGTGGGAACGGCCGCACGATCCCGAGCACTTGTTGTGGAGGTGATGATCTCTGCAGTACGCCACCCCTTTGGGATTCTTGAAAGCCCGGTGGTCCGGCCATGGAACTGAGGGGGAGTTGGGGGACTTCCCCTTGCCGCCCTTGCCCTTCGGCTTGGACCGGGTCGGCCCCGAGGGCCAGGCGCCTTTTCCCCCCTTCTTCGGCTTCTCCCACTGAGTCTGCCACACCTTAGGTGCCTTGCCCTTGTTCTTCCCCTTCTCAGGCGCCCTATTGAGGTGCCTCGTTGCCAGAAGAGGAAGTCGCCCCTGATGTTCTTGAGGGCATCGGAGAGGGTGGTGCCCTGGTGCACCAACTCGTGGATCTTCCTCCACGCATTGCGCTCTGCATACAGCAAGGTGGTGTCACTCGGGGGAGGCCTTCTACCAGCGATGTCCTCCCCATAGAACCAATCATACCAATCGTCCAGCTCCGCCTTGGTGACCTTCAGGTTGCCAAACTGTGGCAGCGCCGCCGTGCACATCAGGAGCGTCGTCCTGAAAGTTTGGTGCAAACGCTCCAGCTGGCGCCGAGATGTGGGGTGGCTCCTCACCTCCTCTTCATCCTCCCTGTCCCAGCCGTCCACCGTGATCTTCTTATGGGTGGATGAAGGGCGTTCCCCTTCTTCCGGGAGCGCGCTCACGATGTGTTTTGCCGGGATGTAGCCCAGCCCACCCTTGGCAATCAAACGCCACTGCTTCTTGAGGTAGCCATCACTCCCTTGGAACTCCAACCTCGGCTTCGGGGTTCCATGAATGGCCACGTAAGCATCCTCCAGCTGGCGCCTGTCACACAGGACCTCCAGGGGCGCCTTCGTCGGGCCCGCCTGGCCCGCCGGGTGATATGCTGGCCGCCACCCGGACTGCCTGAAGGAGGCGCATAGCCGTGAAGGCCGAGGTCTGGACATTGAACCCGTTCTCCCCGTCCCTGAATCCCAGGTCCCGGGGGCCATTCTCCCTCGCCGCCGCTGGGGTGTCCCAGCGATCCGCCAGGTCTTCCACCGTGACGTATCCCGATGCGCCCAAAGCTGCCTGGGCTGCCCAGGGGATCTGCTTCCCAACCAGGATG